TTGGCCTAAAGGAACTACTTGAGTCGTAACTGTCATCCTGTACCTGTCATTTGCTCTAGAAATGCTGTTTGAAGAGAGGTGGGTTTATGAGAAAACTCTTCATTTTAACCATTCACTTATTATTTCTAGCTGTTATCTGCATTTTCAATATTATGTGTAATGATGAAGGACTTAGTCAAAGTAATTAATTCCTGATCCTCTAGTTTTCCCTGCTAATTTTGCCTTTTTTAATTTTTCTATTTGGTGACACTTTAGGAACAGAAAGAAAAGACTGCAACTGATATAGCTACAGCAAAAATGTGTGATATTTATTTTGGTAGAAGGAAGAGTTGAAGTTACTGTCTGAAATTAAAATTTAGAGTTCAGGAATTTCACTGGTCATGGTAGTTTTCCTTCCTAAATATTGTCATTTAGCCTTAACTGTCAGGTATTAAGACATTAAAAACAATCCTTATCTTACCATTTATTCAAATATTTTACATGTCAGTCAATCTTATTGTTTTAAAATGTAATTCCTGCACATTTCTTTTTTTAAACAATGTGTTATTTTTTTAAATTTATTGATTTTTTTTTTTAAATAGAGAAAAGAAGGGAGATGAAGAGAAAGAGTAAGGGAGGGAGGGGGGACCGGGAGAGAGAGAGAGAAACATCGCTTTGTTGATCCACTTATTTATGCGTTCATTGGTTGCTTCTGGCATGTGCCCTGACCGGAGATTGAACCCACAACCTTGGCATATCAGGGCTGACACTCTAACTGACTGAACTACCTGGCCAGGGCTCCTATACATTTCTTTTAGAGAAATTTCTAATTTTTGTTGTTGTTGTTGTTGGTATTAAGAATGAATGGAACAATATTCCTTCAACCATCACTATTTTTTTCTGGGTGCCATACAGGAAGGTTGTTGCTTTTAAAAAACACTAGCTTTTCTTATGTAGTCTAAAACTGTTTTTAGTTGGTTGTTTTGGATGTTTTAGGTATAGTCATAGCATTGACACCATACTAGTCTATCTTTTGTTACCTAGTTTACTCTTTAATCTAGATTCAGAATAATGCTGAAAACAGTAAGGATAGTCATTATTGTTGTGAACCTGATTTTAAAGGACGTGCCCCTTGGAGGGGGAATGCCTTAAGTCTGGAGATTGGCTGTTTAATCAGATTCATATGCATGTTTTTAACTGATTTTATTTTTAAATTTTGTTACACTTTAATATTTTTTAATTTTATTATAATCAGACTTTTTGGCTATTATAATGTTCACATGTTAGAATTGAGTTTTTTCTTTGTTGACTAATTTATGATCAGGTGTTCACAGAAGAGTGAAAAGAAGGCATAGTTTTGTAAGCTTAAATTTTTATTTGTGTGTTTTATAGTCAGTTTTTTTAATGATTATCTCCAGTCCAAGTCAGATGGAAATATTAGACACAGTAATTGATTTGTTGCTGTTATTCAGCACATATTTTTATCAGGAGATACATAGCCCTACTTCTTTCTTTCTGTGAGTTAGTAGCCATCCTATATACATTAGAGATTGCAAAATGGTGATAGCATTCATCCTAATTAACTTGAGCTTATCCTGAGGTACAATTCCTATATGAGAGGCAGGATAGGTACTCGAATGGTTTTCTTTATCAGTATTTAAGATGATCATGTCTTGGTTACCTAGCATTCTTCAAAAATGAGATTTGTGGGGTATTCTTTTGTTTGTATTTATAGTTTTTAGTATCATTATGAATTTAATGGATTTAAACATCCATTGGAATTGTGATTTACATTCTAGTGTGTGTCATTATTGCTAGTGAGAACCACATAACTTGACTCCTTTGCTGTATTAAGTAGGATTTTAGCAGTCTTTGATAAGGGATATTTTTGTTAAGATATATGAATGCATTATAGTCTAAAGGCATAAACTACAATTTAACAAACCATTCGCTTATTGGGCTGTTTCAATTTTTTTCAGGGAATTTTTATTATTACAAATGTGCAGTGAAAATGTTGGTATTTTGACTTTGATATCCTAAATTTTTACTTAGGGTCTATTGCTAGATAGGTGGATCTTTTAAAAAAAAAAAGATCCATAAATACTTTTAAATGCTTTCAATTAAAATATTTAAATTCTGGTGTGGGTTTTTGTTTGTTTGTTTGTTTTGTTTAGAGGAAATAACACTTAATGGTTTTTTTTCTTTACAAATACATTGGAGAATCATGCAAGGCTACAGCATGGCATGCAATCCCAGGCCACAAATCTGCACACTCTTTTGCAACTGGTCCTGTGAGGGCAGAACCTTTCATCTCTCCTTTATTGTTTATTCTGACCCGCTTATTTTCAGAATAAAGAAACTCGGCCATCTTTTCTCTGGGTGACTTTCCATATTGGATTACCACCCCTGAATATACTACATTCTTTCTGGCTTTTTAAATTTTCAAGTTAAAATTCCATCTTTTGTCTTTTGTCTTTTGTCTTTGGAACTACCCCAAATAAAACATTTACTTAAGATTAAATATCATTGCCAAGTGTCTTGCATGTTTTATAATTACAAATAGTCTTAATGTTCCTTTGAAATGATGCTAATTTTACTTTATTGATGGATATAGATTGATTAGAAATCCAGTGACTGCCTTGAATAAAAGTAACTGGTGAATGATAAAGCTTGTATTGAAAAACCAATATTTTTAGCCTCTAACCAAACTAATTTTTACAATAGTGTTGTATAATTTTATATTTTACTTTAAACTTCCTTGTAATGTGCAGTAAACTATCAAGATGTAGAATAGAAAAAACATTGGCAGTATTGCACATTTTCTTAATAATTACTGTCCCTGGGATTCCACAATCTTTCTTTATGTGATTAAAAATTAAAACGTTTAAGCCCTAGCTGGTTTGGCTCAGTAGATAGAGCGTCAGCCTGCAGACTGAAGGGTCTCAGGTTCAATTCCGGTCAAGGGCACATGCCTGGGTTTCGGGCTCGGTTCCCCAGTGGGGGGTGTGCAAGAGGCAGCCAATCAATGATTCTCTCATCATTGATGTTTCTATCTCACCCTCTCGCTTCCTCTCTGAAATCAATAAAAAAAATATTCATAAAAGAAATGTTTAAAAACATTGAGCCCAAAGCCCCTTAATTATAAAAAAAAAATTAAAATGGTTGATTAATACACTATAAGGTGGTTAGGAGGAAGCAGTTGAAAAGTGCTTTTGTATTATTCGGTGTGCGCCCCCCCCCCCCCCCCCCCCCTTTGTGGGAGGATAGCTTAAATAGTCTGTTCAGAAGTTCAGGCATGACTATTACCAAGCTTTCTAAGTATTTTGAGGCTTCTAATAGTAATTTTTTGTCCTAAAATATATCATGAAAATTAATTGGAAAAAGGAATGAACCTAAATATACAGAAAACGAACTGGAATTGTTTTTAAAGTGAAGATTCTTAGTCTTTATTCTCAATATTTTGTTTTTAAATTACCTTTTTTTGGAAACAGCTTTTTTTTTTCTTAAATCCTCACTCTGGGATATTTCCATTGATTTTTAGAGAGGGAAGAAGGGAGGGAAAAGAGAGAAATATTAATGTGTGACATAAACATCAATTGATTGCCTCTCATGCTTGTCCTGACTGAAGATCAAACCCACAGCCTGGGTATATGCCTTGCCCAGGAATCGAATGGGTGTGTGTGACATGGGTGTATGTGCTGAGCTTCAAACAACAGCCACCTGGCCAGGCGAACAACTTTATTGCATATAATACTCCCAGTATTTTTTAAAAATGTTTTTACTGATTTTTAGAGGAAGGGGGAGAGAGATAGAAACATCGATAATTTAAAAGTTTTTATTGATTTTTAGAGGGAGAGGGAGAAATAGAAACATGGATGAGAGAGAAACATCAATGGGCTGCCTCCACTTGCACGCCCCCTACTGAGGATCAAGCCTGCAACCTAGGCATGTGCCCAGGTGGGGTAGGAAGGGGCACAGACACCTTTTTGAGGTAACTTATGACCAAAGGCCAGTTAAGACCATGTAACAATAAGAGCAATATTTTTTGTCTCCCCCCCCCCCCTTTTTTTTTTTGGTGTTAATCCTCACTGCAGGGTATTTTTTCAACTAATTTTTAGAGAGAGTGGAAGGGTTGCGGGGGGACAGACAGACATCCATGTAAGAGAGACATATCAATTGGTCACGTATGTCCCCTCGCCCCGACCATGCACCCTAACCCGGGGCTGGGGCTCGAACCTGCATACCAGGTATGTGCCCTTGACTGGGAATCGAACCCGAGACCCTTCTGTGCATGTGCTGACGCTCTAAGCATTGAATACACTGGCCAGGGCAAGACAGCCATGTTTTTCATTGATTATTAAATGTTGATGAGACTTGAAGCCTTTTGATAAAAAAAATACTTATTTGGCAATCTTAATGAAAATACAGAATAATTCTTTTCCTCATAACAATAAGTGGATATAAAATGATTAACATCAAATACATCTGGAATACTGTTACAGTACATAGTTTTGTGTCAAGAAGTATACATTTACTATCTTAACAATTTTTAAGTGTGCAGTACAGTATTGTTAACAATATGTACATTGTTATACAGTGGATCTCTAGAACTATTTCATCTTGCATGACTCAAACTGTATACCCGTTGAATAACTCCCTGTTTTCCCTTTCATCCCTATCCCTGGCAACCATGATTCTACTTTCTGTTTCTATGATTTTGGTTATTTTAAATACTGCATATAGGTAGACTCCTATAGTATTTATATTTACGATGGGCTTATTTCACTTTTTAGCATAATGTCTTCAAGGCTCATCTATGTTGTAGCATATGTCAGAATTTCCTTCTTTTTAAAGGCTGAATAATATTTTGTTGTGTATGCATACTACATTTTTAAATTCATTTATTCGTTGATGGATATTTATGTAGCTTCCTCATGGTGGTTGTGAATACTGCTGCAAGGAACATGGATGTGTCACCATACCTATTTTTAAAGGCTGTATTGATTTTTTTTCTCTTGCAGATATATTCGACTTTATGGGAGAAAATTTAGCAAAGAAGATCATGTTCTTTTTGTCAAGTTATTGTATGAGCTGGTATCAATTCCAAAACTGGAAATCAGCATGATGCAGGGATTTGCCCGTCTCTTGATCAACTTGTTAAAGTAAGTCAATTTTCCTATGATTTTGAATTTTTTCAAGATTTTAGGGAATGAGAACTTTATAAGTTCACTTATTTATTAAATATGTTTTTATTGATTTCAGAGAGGAAGGGAGAGGGAGAGAGAGATAGAAACATCAATGATAGAATCACTGATCAGCTGCCTTCTTCACGCCCCCTACTGGGGATTGAGCTCACAACCCAGGCGTGTGCCCTTGACCGGAATCTAACCTGGGACCGAAGTAACCTGGGACCCTTCAGTCCGTAGGCCAATGGTCTATCCACTGAGCCAAACAGGCTAGGGCGAGAACTTTATAAGTTTAAATCATGTGTTAATTAACCTTTTAATTAAAATTCCATCTCCTCCATGAAGCTTTCTTTTCTCTAGCACACATTGAACTCTGTGTTGTATGATTATTTTATTTATACTAATTATCTTTTCTTATATAGGTTTTGAGATCCTTGAGAATATAGGGATCATTTATTCTTCTGCTTATCCCAGGGTACCAATCACAATGCTGGAAACTTTAAGTGAAGACATATAGTGTGGGAAAATATGAAATTCACCTATAGTGATGGTGGCACAATGTATATGCCCTCTTTTACCAATTGCTCTTTGAGGTTTGAGCAGCAGCAAGAATTTGGTGCATTGCTCTTCTTACTCCCTACTATATTATATTCTGCCAGTGAATTGCACTGGATGAGGAAAAGCAAAACCCACTGTGATGACAGCAGCATTTAACAGTTGTCCTCCTTGAGTAGTATTTGTAATATACACCTTTGCACACATCCATTTATATGTGTTTACCTTTCCTAATTAGGAAAAAGGAACTTCTTTCAAGAGATGATTTGGAGTTACCTTGGAGACCACTTTATGACATGGTGGAAAGAATATTGTATTCCAAGACAGAGCACCTAGGATTAAATTGGTTTCCTAAGTAAGTATTTCCATTTAAAGAACTTCTTTGGGAGCATTGGGGGGCTTTTAGGGATTCGATCTTAGTTGAGAAATACTGGGTTGAGATAAGCTAGCAAATGTACATTTTAATATATTCAATTCCATGTAACTTAACTCCTAAATTAATTTTTGCCCTCTTTAAACTATATCTGAAGCTGTACTTAAGAATTTTCTGCCAAAATATTTCTAACAGCTAACATCACCATAATGGCCAAAGAAAGCAAGAGATTTTGTTTGAAAATCTATTATCTTGTCATTGAAAGTAATACATATTTGGCATTCTTCACAAAACATCCACATGTGTTTTAATTCTTCAAGTACAACGAATGCCTTAAGAAGAGGAGCTTTGCATATTCCAGGGGGCATACCCACCCAGTAGAAGCAGCATCAGTTTTAGTGTTTGACTTTTCTGAGAGCACAAACTATTCAATGTACAGTCCCTAGTTTATGTTATTTTCTACTAGTGCTTAGACATACTAAGCTTATAAATCTCTGGCTGATTATGGCTGCTTGAATATGCATCATGACTCTTCCAGATCTCTAATTTTGGTATGTTTTATGTTTTATTCTGAATTAACTGCTCTTTTAGTTATTTTCCTTTTTCGCTTTTAAAAATTCTTTAGTGATCAGTCTTCTTTAATGATTGATTTCTGTGGTTTCACTCTCAATCCGACACATGTTGACATTATCTCATTACTTCTTGTAGCCTCCCCAGTTCAGTTCATTTAATCTATGATTAATCCTCAGGCTTCACTTAAGTGAGCAGTCTTTTTTGTGGGATTTTTTTTAAATCATGGCAGATGGCAGATTTTAAGAGCTTTTGGGTAATAGGTAAGTAAGTAGTAAAATGATGTAAATGGAAAGAGTAAAAAAGAAAATGACCATAGTTGATCCTGAACTTAGGCCCTAGTTGGATTTTGGAGAGTGATCACAAATAGAGTGAGTGGTTAGAAGTCATTTATTTCCTGAAGATTTCATGTATTAGAACAAGGAAACCCATTTTTCAGTCATAAAACTAGAAAATTTATCATGAAACTAAATGGTATAATGTTCAAATGTTTGTATAAATAATATGAAAACCCAAAGTTTAACATAAAAGCCGTGTTGTAAAGGTTCCTTAGGAGTTTTGTTTGAAGGAGCATGCCATAGACTGGATTGGGTGTATTTAAAATACGAGCCCATTGAAGTTTGTACTAGAATCACCAGTTCATAGATTTCAGGGACCTTTAAACTGTGTTCAAAATCAGCTGTCTTTCTGAGAATTCCTGACTGATTCTTTTGGGCTGCCTCTGAAAGTCTTTGGTAAAGTAAGACAATTTCTTCTTCTTTAATATGTTATTTCCTTGCTTCTTCATAACTAAGTTTCACACTTTTTGCCCTGGCAGTTGTACCTTTGCAGAGGCAGCCACTTCCTTCCAGGTCCTGTGTGGCTTTCCTCTTCAAGTAATACCAGCTCTTTTCCTGGAAGTTTTGTTAGAGCTTATCACTGAGTGTCAGTCAGTACTTATAGTTCCTCCCTGTGCTTATTACTGTGCCTTTTCCTGAAGCTTCACATCATCCTTGCCCCTGTGGAAACCTCTTAAAAGTTTTACCATGGCTCTTCTTGGTGTTTTAAAGAAACATTTGTCTCTGCTGAAATTGTCGCTTTGTTTAAAGCAGTGATTCTCAACTCTAACAGGCTCAGCATCCCCTTTTCTATTTTGTAGTTATCTATTTTAAATGAATTTTGTAGGTAGTATAACCTATCTATGCTCATTATTTACACTCAGTGACATAAATATAAATGTCTTCATCACAGAAGAGAAATAATAGGAAAGTCATTTATTAGGAAAACAATGCAGGATTAGCAAAAGTAGGTTTACAGTTGTTTGTATGGAAAATAATACAATAATTAATAGTAATACAAAAATATGCTCTGTTTCATATACTCAAAACTGTAAGCCTACTTTTGCCCCACCTGTATGCTTGAAACATGCAGATTATTACAATAAAAGACACAGTATGGTATTCAGATTTTGCATCTACTTATGATGAGTAAGTTTGGATTTAAAAGAAAAAAGGTTAGAACATACAGTATTCTGTATAAGAAGTACAAGAACTTGAAAGAATAGCATTATAAGTGGACATTAAAATAAAAGCTAGTGCCAGGATAAAGAATAACATAAGATTTAATTAAGTATGATGGTAGAGAAAGGGAAATAACTTTAATTTCAGGCTACTGAACTGAGAAAAAAGGAAGTTTCTATTCTCACGGATCTGCTGGCCTTATTTGTAACATAGTGTCATAATTTTTATGTAATGATGTTGGTGTAGTTATTTTGTATCAGAAGACGTTGTTTTTTGTTTTGTTTTTTAATATATATTTTATTGATTTTTTAGAGAGAGGAAGGGAGAGAGATAGAGAGTTAGAAACATCAATGAGAGAGAAACATTGATCAGCTGCCTCCTGCACACCTCCCACTGGGGATGTGCCCGCAACCTAGGTACATGCCCTTGACCGGAATCGAACCTGGGACCAAAGGACTTATATGCAAGCATATAGGCCTAACCAATGGACACAGACAACAGGGGGGTGAGAGCATGGGGGGGGGGGGGGCGTGGGGATAAGGACACATATGTAATAACTTAATCAATAAGAAAATTTTAAAAAAAGACAAACTGTTAATAAGTGAAGCACCTTTCACTTTTGATTATAAAAATAGTATTCTAAAATTAGAACACATGCAGCCAGCTGACAAAATTGTTTCAAAATGTGTCAGAACACATCTAAGATGAAAATACTCAAAATACCAATTTCAAAAGTATGCCGTATTAAAGGGCCCTTTAAGGAATTTTCTGTAATAAAGTGTTTGTAAACTCATAATTTTATTTCTTGACTATAAACACTTGCTATACTAGTGTGCTAAATATAACCTTATTTAGAAAAATACATTTTTTAAATGTTTTAAATGATTCTACCTTAGAAATTCAGTAGACAGAGGAACAGAAAGCAAAAGTACTATCATATAACTTGTCCACTGTTCTCTATGTAACCTTTCTGCGTAAAGAACCAGGGCTACCAAGTTCCTCTGATTTTAAAATCAAGGCTAAGTGTGGCCCTAGCTGGGCATGTCAGTTGGGTAGGCTCGAGCATTTTCCTGATATACCAGGCTGCGGGTTTGATTCCCAGTCAGGGCACATACAACAATCAACCACCCAGTATTCTTTCTGACCCCTTCAAACTGGAACACATTACCATTTTAAAAAGGGGATGCAGCAATAGAGCTCCATTTCACAACATGTGCTGTTTAGTGGAGGTTCACAGCCTTGTGTGTGAGCAGTCCAAGCCATTGGACCAATATGGTTCATTCATCTGCCTACAGCATCAACTTTAGCCAAGAGTCATATAGGGAAGAATTTTTACTTAAGGAAACATTACCTAATAAGCCCAACACAGGGAAAAAACACATAATGATCTGGATACTAGAAAACCAGTGTCTTAGAGATTAAAAAACAGGAAAAGAGAAAGCAAAGAGTGCTGGACCAGTGATAAGAAAAGAGGGACTGATTAATGAAGCAGAAAACTTTTGATTGTCTGGATAGAAGATAAGAGGTGGCAAACCCAGGCTCTTTAACCATATAAAGGGAGCACTTGGGAAATGCATGGGGCATTTTTAATTATCATGATTATTGGGGCAGAACCCAAGTATAGTAGATACCCTGCAACTCATGGAATAGCCAGACACAACAAAAAATTGGTGCAAGACCTTCAAATGTCCTACCTAAACGTTCACTGCTTTAAACATTTAGTATTTTTTGCATAGTTTTAATGAACGCTGATTCTTCTGGGAATACAACCAATGTAAACTGAACAAGGCTGTACTACTTTGTTTTGCTGAAAATATTATAAGGGGTTATTCATTATTCCGGAAGGAAGGAAGGGAGGGAGGGAGGGAGGGAGGGAGGGAGGGAGGGAGGGAGGGAGGGAACATCACACCACCATGGCAATTCCAATTGCAACACCTGATTTGTCAATACCAATGCTGTTGCATACAAATATGTAACTGAGATTGTTTCAACAGTCTTAGAATAAAGTATCATTACAGTGGCTGTTTTAACGGTCTTAGAATAAAGTATCATTACCTTGGCAATTAGCAGACACATAAAACACAAGGATGTAGAATCTCATTGATAATTTTTTGTTAAAATGCTGTAAATTATTGTAAACCTTTTTCATATGGCACAAAGGGCAATTTATCTTGTGAAAATGATATATTGGCATTATTTATTCATTTTGGCATTGCTTGTTAGTTTTCAATCTTACTCTGATATTCTCCCCAGAAGTCTACTGCACAGATTCTTTCTGCCTTCACATATTAATGTTTGAATCTTAATTGGCATGGTTTTATTTCACAAAACGAAGTTCCATATGCTTAATTGGAGTAGCATATTGCGAGTTACAAATGTAGGCAGCACACTAAGGAAGGGTATTGCTACTAACAAAATGTGAGGGGGATTATGCATAGATTAGTTTTTACAAAATGGGCATGGGCAATTCATATTTGAATTATGTATGTACATTTGTTTATTTAGTCTTATCACTACCAGTTTTCAGACTTGTTTGGTGTTAAAGGTTTACATGTTTGAATCATGAGTAGTTTGGGCCTGTATAACTCATTTTACTTTTTAAAAATATTTTTTTAAGTATATCTATTTTTCTTTTAGGTATATTCTTCTAAGGGGATTAAATCATTTTTCATATTAATTTGCCTCTGGAAATATTATATGTCTACCTTTTCTGGTACTTGTTCTTCATGGCATTTGAATTGGTGCTCTTATTTTTAAGATACAGTTAAATCTTTTGATCCCCTTTCAACACATGGCAATAACATGTTCTTAACCTCTGTTGGGAGTTTGATACATGTGGCCATACGTCTAAACTTAAGTTACTGGTAGTAACCACAGATTGATCTCTAGCTACAGAATTTAACATGATACAAGTAATTTCTCTGAGGATCTGTTGAAATTTAAAATAGTTTACAGTTTTGTTAATAAACAATGATTATTAATATGGTATTTACAATGATTTCCTTGAAATATATTTTTATTGATTTCAGATACAATGATTTTTAACACAGTATTTGAGGATCATTTTATGTGCTTTTAAACAAGTTCTACTTTAACTTTTATTGGAAATTAGGGACTAGGTGGTTGGTTTTTATTAATGACTATAATCATGTTTCTTCTAAAAGTTGTCTCTGTGGCCCTGGCTGGGTAGCTCAGTTAGAGCAGCGTCCCAATATGCCAAGGTTGTGGATTTAGTCCCCTGTCAGGACACTCACAAGAGTCAACCAATGAATGCATAAATATGTGGAACAAATCAATGTGTCTCTCTCCCCATTCCCCTTCTCTATCTGTCTCTAAAATCAGTTTTTTAAAAAAATGAAAAGTTGTCTATGCTGCAATGATCTCTTCTTGGAAACTTGTTATTTTTTTTAAGCAATTTTAAAAACTATTTTGTTCACATTGATTAGACTTGCTGTCACAGCAGTTTTGCATGCTCTTTTTACACAAGTGGTCAGGATTAGGACAACTTTTCTTTTTTTAAAGCTAGGTGTTTGTTTTTTTTAAAAAATTGATTTTTAAAGAGAGAGAGAAACATCGATGTGAGAGTAAGACATTGATCAGCTGTTTCCTGTACGCTCCCTGGGATGAAGCCCACAGCCCAGGCATTTGTCCAGACCTGGAACAGAACCAGCAACTTTTCGGTGTTCTGGTGTCATACCGGCCAGGGCCAGACAATTCCTTAACACTTAGCATAGAGGCATACTTTTAAAAAAAGTGATTATAATATGTGTGTGTGTGTGTGTGTGTGTGTGTGTGTGTGTGTGTGTGTGTTATAGCCTAAGCGACCATTTGACCGGCTGACCGATAGCTATGATGCGCACTGACTACCAGGGGGCAGACACTCAACGCTGGAGCTGCCAAGCTGCGGTTCTTGGGTGACACACCCAGAACCAGAGAGGAGGGAGCCTGATTCTGGGGTGCATCACCCAAGAACCGCCCTCTCGCAATCCAGGATCCCTCAATGTTTTTTTGTTTGTTTTTTTAATTTATTTTATTAATTTTTTTACAGAGAGGAAGGGAGAGGGATAGAGAGTTAGAAACATCAATGAGAGAGAAACATCAATCAGCTGCCTCCTGCACACCCCCTACTGGGGATGTGCTTGCAACTAAGGTACACGCCCTTGACTGGAATTGAACCTGAGACCCTTCAGTTCGCAGGCCAATGCTCTATCCACTGAGCCAAACCGGTTAGGGCTCAATGTTTCTCTCTCACAATGTTGGAGAGCCAGTTTCGGCCTGATCCCCTCAGGCCAGGCTGAGGGACCCCACCAGTGCACAAATCCGTGCACCGGGCCTGTACTATCTCATATTTGCTTTATTGATGTCATCATAGGGATCGTAAAGAATGTCATCATAAGGTAATTGCAGCCCAGAGAGGAAAATTGACACAGTCATTTGTTGAATCTGGGACAAGAGCTCAAGAACTGGGACAACAATTTACTCTCTGCCCTAATAAGTAGGGTGACTGCTGGGGAAGGAATTTCCTGTTTTGATATGATTTCCTAAATCATAAATTAATAGCTACCCAGAGGCAGGAGAATAGATATAAAAACAAAATGAGCACAAAAATTATTATTTTTTAAGTATGTTTTTATTGATTTCAGAGAGGAAGGGAGAGGGAGAGAGAGAGAGAGAACATTAGTGATGAGAGAGAATCATTGATTGGCTGCCTCCCGCCCGGGAATCAAACCAGTGACCTCTTGGCTCCTGGGTCGATGCTCAACTACTCAGCCACACCAGCTGGGCCAAAAATTAATTCTTAAGGAAATTGAAAATATGATTTATTTTGGCTGTGTATGAAATAATAATTATTATCATTTATTGTGATTAATTCTGAGCCAAGTAGCTGCTTTCTTTACGTTACCTCATTTAATTTTTATAACAGCCTTATGAGAGGTAGGTATTATTGCTCTTATAGGAAAAACTGAGGCTGTAATATTACATTAGTAAGTCGCAGAACTGGTATTCAAATTCAGATATGTCTGAATCTAAGCCAAGCTGTGAACCACACTACATGCTATAGGGCTTTCTTTTCAACTTATCATGTCTTTATAAAAGGAAATAGGGTATGAGAAACCCATTCAAAACTTAGTCCATCTGTATGTAGATCCCTTTTGATTTAAAAAGAGAGTGTTTTGATTTGTTATCACTTTAGTATTATAAATTTCCAGCAATTGGAAAAGTTTGTAGTGATAATTCACTCCCTCTAAAAATTATTAAAACATAGCCTAGTAGCATCTAGACTTAACCTTTTATTTTATTTTTAAACAGAAACATTGTTTCCTTCATCTTGAGAGATTACAAGAATCACAAAAGGTCACTATACAGATATCACAGGTTAGAGAGATTGTACCCTTTTCTGGATAAAGAGCATAAGTCCAATGGCACAGTCTTATATATAAGGAGGGGTTAAAATTTACTTTATTTAGATGAACTAAATCACATTCCCACATACCCTATTCCTCTTAGTGAAGTGAGAGCTACCAAGTATGATAATTAACCTCCTATTCTGAAGAGTGAAGGGAACTGGACAAAACATAGCTAGCTATGCAGCTTTTTATGACTTGCTTTCTAAAGTTATTTCTCCCATTACATGAAAGTTTGTTGGTAGAATATAAAAGTTACCAGTAAAAATAGCAGGTCTTCTGTGTTATACTCTCAAATGAATTGCCACAGAAACAATAAAATAAATGAAAAGTTAACATGAACACAAACTTCAGAAACTGTGGAAATTATAGATCTTCTGCTTATATCCTTGGGCAGAAAGTTTACCATTTTAGAATTTTCTTTTTTAAATGTGTTTAGGTTGATCTGATATTTATTTTGGAACGAGATGGCTCTTTAAACCTTGCCTATTAATTTGTTTCTAAATGTGATTCTTCAGTCCAAAGTCAAAGATCTGTGCTCTTTATTTCCCTGATAGAAAATGTTTATTGAGCATTGTAAGTAAGTAAATAAGTCAAGTATAAATATAGATGAACACATAGCCTTGTTATAAGTCCTTTGGCAATGCCCAGAAGAAAAATCATAGCTGTGGTCTTTAGGGGAGATTTATTTACTTATTTTTATTTTCAGATTATGAGTTGTAGTCTGGTTTCCTCTTTAGTTAATTGTTTTCTGAGTAGTTTGTAAACTAAAGAGGATTTTTACTGCTTCAAGTAATAAAGTTAGTTTTCTCTCTTGGTTATATGATACATTGGTTACTTGTTACTGAGTTTGGTTTATATTAGTCCTTGAAATTTCTTTGCAGATTAGTGCTTAAGCTTTCAGAGAAATTGGGTAGACTTCTGGATTTAAGAATTTCAAGAAGCTTAATGGGAAAGTGTCAGGTTGGAAGTACTGCCTGAAAGTTACCCTTTTCCCAATAATTTTTTCCTTGCGATATGGGACTTGCTTTATTTTTATTTGTGCACATCATACTATAAGTGGTCACACATTTATTTTAAAATTCCACTTCAGAATTACCTATTGTCCCTTTGCTTTATTTATTTGCATTTGACCTTTTTTGACTGTGGTCCAGTTAATATTTAAAAAAATTCCATTCTCTTCATGTGTGTTTAAACTATTATTAACACAGAAATGTTCATTATAAATTTAATATACAAATATTTGTTTTCCATATTCACTTGAACCACCTACAAGTTGGAAAATAAGTTGCTGCTTTTAATGGTACTCAACTAATAAAGTGCCCTGGAGTGTTATAGAACTCTCATCAGTTGGTTAGAGAAAAGTAGTTTTGGCAGTTGCTGATAGGAGCACACCAAATTTTGTCTGCCATTTTGATATAAAAGCACTTTAATAAAAATTTTAACTTACTCTCTGAAGTTTTAAGCCACTGAACATATTCCTTGATGTGTTGAGAAGTTTGGTCATTGCTGCCTACTTTGTAATGATTGAATATGATTTGTCCTTTTCCTACTTTTCTTCCCTTTAGTTTACAGCAGAGAATGAGCAAAGGAGGGCAAAGGGAAGAGTAGATTATGGAGTGTAGGTAGTTAATCCTTACACTTCAGTCTGTATAAAAGAGGAGGATTAGCAATTGCATGCACACAGATAATATCTAGGTTTATGAGCATATCTAGAGAGTCTTTTTTTATTAATTGAATTAGATGTGTTCTTAAAATACACTGAACTAATTTATCAAATGGCTTTTCCCCTCCTCCCCCCAGTTCTGTAGAAAATGTTCTCAAAACACTCGTGAAAAGCTGCCGACCGTAAGTAGCTCCTCAATTTATATAAAGCCTCATGTTGTTTCTATGGGCCTTTCCCTGTCTTTAATTTGCTTTGAAGAGGAAATTAAAGGTATAAATAGTTTCTGACCTTGTGATGTTAGTCACTGACCTTGTGATGATAGTCAACATATTATTTCCAACTCTTGAACTGAAATTTTCAGATTTCGTTTATAAATTTAGAAAATTTTAAATGGTGTATCAGTCACCAATTATAAAATAAGAATGCCATAATTTATATATAATCACATTTGTTTTAAAGGTTATCCTAAGTTATTGTTACTTAGATAAAAAATCTTTTTCAAAATGGGCATTGTAGGGGAATTGCATTAAAATTGAGTGTAACAAGAAGGTGTGGTCCATACATTTTTTCTAGTGTGTTCTCTTTCCATAGAATATTTGCCTTTAGCTTCCATATTCTCCTATTTAAATATAAATATGTATAGAATTTAGTGTTAATTATATTTGTACAGTTCTTTGGACTTAAAAATATTTTCTGACTCTTGTTTATCACATTGTTCTGAGACTACTTATCCTACTATGGATACGGGGAACTCTTTTGAATGGAAATCCCTGTGTTTATCGTATGCTGTAGTATGAGTTAAAGTTATTTCACAAATCAGATACTTATTACTTATCTACTATACTCAGTCTTGGGCAGTTGTATATTCAGGATATAAAATGTCTCCCTTTTAAGAGGCTTAAGTTGTAACTTGAGTCATAAGCCACCAATGAGCAATGTCATTTTGTACTAGGCAATTACTCTCTTGGCCTATGTGTTTCCTCACTGGAAACTTAATCAACTTGAGGTATTTGCTGGTTTTTAGGTTGTTGGGTAATTCATAGAGCACCTAAGCTTTTATTTTGGATCACCAGGCTAATAAAAAGTTGACTCTGAAAAATTAGGAAGGAGAATTGTTGTATGAAATCTTTGAAGGTAGAATATTTTCTTCATTTTTTTTTTTAATTCTAACCTGTTTAATAATGACCAAGCATATAAATGTGTAATAAGTTCAACAAAAATAGTATGAGAATGTAATTTTATTTTCACATCAAGGAATGAAGTGTGATTCTAATTAACACAAATGTATAAAATGTAATAGGATTTAATAATAGGATGTGTAAATCTAATTTGAAAGGGCTTTCTAACTTTTTGGCCATACCCAAATCAGAATTTCTCATATGCTTTTTGTTCTTCTAAACCCCTTAATAGGTATTTAAAAAATTATACCTGGGTCCTTTTCATCCATTTACCTTCATTTTGTGTATGTGTATGCATATACACATACAACACACACACACACACACACACACACACACACACACACACACACACTTCCGATTTTGATTTTGTAAATCTCTGGCCCAAGGATGCCCCTGCCCATTTAATAGAATTGTACAACGTTAGACCCTGTAGCACCAGATCATCTAGTCCAGTCCTCTCTTCTCTATAGGAGGACTTTGTGGTCAGTGTGGATAAATGGTTTGGCCACACATGCTGAGCAATTGATATTCTCTTTCTCACTTCAGTTCACTGTTACTCAGTTTTTATATAGACAAAATTTTTTTCTGTTGCTATTACATAGCACACAGGAAGAAAATATACAACCATGTTTAAATTTGTAGGTGATTTGACTTACTTTGTATTTTATCTGAGTTTTATCGACTTTGTAGCATTTTTCTAAGTCCCCTAGACAAGAAGAAAATTTACCTTATCCTAAGTGTGTCAGGGTATTTAGAGTTAAAATGTGTTTCTTGTAAGCTAACATGCTCCTCCTTTTTTTGTCAATCATGTATTTATGTAAGAGAGTTTTTAGTCAGTGATCAGATACATGAAAACTTTCCTTTTTATTAGATATTTTCCAGCAGATTCGACAGCTGAGATGCTAGAAGAATGGCGGCCTTTAATGTGCCCTTTTGATGTAACAATGCAAAAGGCCATCACTTATTTTGAACTATTTCTTCCTACCTCCCTTCCTCCAGAATTGCATTATAAAGGTTTTAAGTAAGTATTTACATATTATGAGAAATTCTAGAAAATAGCAGGAAATACAGAGGCAAACTAGTAAAGCAATGATAAGTAAAGAAAAACTTACTAACTCAACCATTATGTTTATTATACTTGAAGTGTGTGAAAGCTAAATTATATAAATATAAGATTGTAAATAGAGAATAATGCTTGTATGTCAAGCCAAATAGTTTAAGGGCTTTAAGAGGAAAGAGTATTACATTAAGAAAGGAGTGGAAATATCAAGAGGCAGTGATAGAAATGTTAAATTGCATAGAGTTTTGAGGGAGGAAAAAATGTTTCCCTAAACCTAAAACTAGGTTTTAACCCTTATCACATGTCATTTCTTTTGGGTCTTTTTTATATAATCTTTTCTTTTTGTAGTCTTTGCACCATTTTTACAAACTTTTTAGAATGAAAAAAGAATTTAGACTGTACTTTTAAGAAGAAAGGGTATGAAAAAAAAAAGACTGGAAGGATAATAGTAATTACCACTGTGTTATGGGTTCATACTTAGTTTACCTCCCCCTCTCCAATTTTCTGTAGTGAAATGTCAAATCTTTTTATTTAAGTCAGAAATTTTGTGTATAGCTGAAAATTTAATTTTAATTTAATAAAAATTCTAAAAACTTTTTGTATCTTGGGCATTTTTAAAGATTGTTTACCAGGAATAATATTCTAACATTTTCTTTCCCCTATATTCTCTTCTAGTTCTTTAATTTGAGATAATTTCCCCCACTGTAATTTAATTGCACTTAACACTTTGTGGCTAGTTTCTTTTGTGGCACATTTATTATAGTGCTAGGTAATGGTGTAATTACTAATTGGGTTCTTACAGACAAGAAAGTAAGGGAGAGTTACAAGAACAGGTAGTAATAAGAAAACATTTAATGAGAAAGGTGGGAAGAGGAAAGAGAAACTTATAAATAGTGCTAGATAGGGTGGACAGTAATTACTTGACAATGAAGTGGAAGTATTACGAGATTATTCTTTTTAGAATAAATACATTGGAAGGATAATATTCAGACAAAAATGGTCCTTTGTAACATTAAGTTTGTAACTTTCAGTATTATTTTTTTCTAGATTGTGTAGTTGTTAGTAAGAATAATAGATTAAAAACTACAAGATACCTGGCTTTGAACCATTTTCTATAAGTCACTTGCTATTCATAACAATATTTTTTTTTCCTTCAGACTTTGGTTTGATGAGTTAATTGGCCTTTGGGTTTCAGTGCAAAATCTCCCACAGTGGGAGGGGGTGAGTATCCCATGTTTTTCTCCTATACTTTTCAGTTTGGAAATAGTATGTGAAATAATTTGATAAGAAACTTCAATTCCCTAGAATTGGCTATTAGCAGTGTTGTAATCAGTTTTTAAAATTTTATTTGCTGTATTTTAACAACAGTAGACATTTCTTTATTTGATTTTATTAATATATAGAAGTATGCACGTGTAATGGGAAATGCATGAAACTGTCAGGCCCTGCTTGTTTCCTTTTGTATCCTCACTAGCACGGTGCTGGGCACATAGTAGATGTTTACTGGATTAAAGTTTCTTTTTTTGTTTGCATTGTGCATAATGCTATGTTTTCTTATTTTTTTATTGTTATTTTTAAAATACATTTTTATTTCAGAGAGAGAGAGAGAGAGAGAAACATCAATGATGAGAGAGAATCATTGATCAACTGCCTACTGGGAATGGAGCCCGCAACCCAGGCATGTGCCCTGACAGGGAATCGAACTGTGACCCCCTGGTTCATAGGTCCATGCTCAACCACTGAGCCACACCGGTCGGGCTGCTATTCACTTTAAATGGGTGACAGGAATCGGAACTTAAATTTGGAGATTTTAAAAAACTGAATTATAGAACATATGTTAAATCAAGTTATGCTAATATTGATTGCTGAAAAGAACAAGTGAATGAGGGGATTCACTGTGCCACTTAAAAACAACAACAAATGTATTTACTTAATTTTCTTTTTTTTGTTTACTTTCAGCAACTAGTAAATCTCTTTGCACGATTGGCTACAGATAATATAGGGTACATAGATTGGGATCCATATGTACCAAAGGTAATTAAGAACATTTGAACATATAACATATAGTAGCATTGATAGCACTTTTATGTCATTAAGAAGAAGTATATTTTGTATGTTGATTCTTAACTTCACAATATATTTTAGGACATTAATAAAAACACAATTTACAGGGTAGATCCTTTATTTTCAAAAAGTAATTGGATCATATCAAGATATCAAAAATATGTGATTTTTGTGTTACCTATGTAGAAAATGAACTATAAGTTTTTAAATGAATAAAATAGAAAATACTAAGTATATTATTCAGGGTGTCATACATTCATACTTTGCAACAAATTTCATGTATTCGATTGCTACTCTAGTGTTCTCCACTTTTTAGATAACATTGTATGTTTCCCTAGATTAAAAAGTAGAGGTTCTCTAGGTGCATTGTTCTTAACATTGCATCCTCTGTATTGTTTCACCTGCAGCAGAATCACTTGTGGCACTTCAGGAGGGCTGGAATGGGACATCCAGGTGATTCTGAAGCACATAGTGAGAGTAGTGCAGAGCTGGAGACCAGCAGAAGGCAAATGCTCTGTATGTCTTTGCTTGTGCTGTCTTCCTCTGTTGCTGGCCAGTAGAAACTAAGGAGGAGAAGTAATTTTTCCCTACCTTTGGGCCCCCTATCTGTTAATAATGACAGATATAAAACATAGATTTCATTATGTTAGAATGTAAATACTAAATGCAAGTTCTTAAGTGGGAGGTGATATCAGGTCAGTGTTAAGAATTAAAGAATTCGGAATCCTCCAGAAGAGATTTCCATTTTATGCATCCTTGGCATGGAATTAGAGCATAGGAAAATTTTTGTGTATTTAGAGACACAGAAAGGAGTCAAAACATATCATGTTTAACTTCAGGTATCTACGGTTTGTCTTTTTATGTTTTACTATCTCTCCTTTGTCTGTGTTTTGGGTACATGGATATAGCTGTATTATATCCACATGCCTGTGACCTCAGAGTGTCATTTTTAAAAGTGTAGATATTTTCTATAATTTTTAAAGAATAAAGCAGAATACTAAGCAGTATGTAATTTGCTTCAAAACTGATCAAATGTGACTTCATCCAATATCACTAATATATAACATTTAAGTTATTTAAGGGAAGTTATTTAATAACTGTACATATTTATTTTTAATTCTCTTTTTCTTAAAGATATTTACAAGAATTTTGAGAAGCTTGAACCTCCCAGTGGGAAGTAGTCAAGTGTTAGTCCCAAGATTTTTAACAAACGCTTATGATATAGGACATGCTGTAATATGGATCACCGCTATGATGGTTTGTAATACATTATATTTGTTTTATATAGTTCATCCAAATTTTGTGTTAGCCATACAGAAATACAATCACATAAGTCTATATAGTGGCTTAGTTGTTCGCTGGATTCTTGGATATTTTCAGACCCAGAATGTATTCATAATGTACCATTTATTAATGTCTGTAACCAATGGGCCCTAAAAATAGAATCTGAGTTTATAGCAGCAGTTCTCAACCTGTGGGTCGCGACCCTTTGGGGGTCGAACGACCCTTCCACAGGGGTTGCCTAAGACCATCGGAAAACACATATAATTACATATTGTTTTGTCATTAATCACTATGCTTTAATTATGTTTAATTTATAACAATGAAAATACATCCTGCATATCAGATATTTATATTACGATTCATAGCAGTAGCAACATTACAGGTATGAAGTAGCAACAAAAATAATTTTATGGTTGGGGGTTACCACAACATGAGGAATTGTATTAAAGGATCGTGGCATTAGGAAGGTTGAGAACCACTGGTTTAGAGTTTTGAGAAATTCAGAATGTCTAACAGTTTTACAGGCCAGGAACCAGACTCCTAGATAAAAAGACTTTCCCAAAGTCAAATTGAGGTCACAGGCATGTGGATATAATTGTTAGAATTTTTTAAATTTTGTTGGTATTTTGCTGTGGAATTATGGTTTCTTAGTGGGGAACAGGAACGTGGATTTCATTTCAGTAGAGAGACAGGCTCCTAATGTAACTGACATTCTACCTTAGGTCTGTGGTTTTTCTTGAAAGAAGATCACCTTGAGGCAGATAGGAGGCTTCAGGCCTTTATCCCCAAGGCTGTTCAACTCGATAAAATAAATACTAGCTTTTTACCTTTTTTCCTTAATTTCCTCTAACTTATGTTGTTGTTTGGTTTGTTTGTTTTAACAATAGATTAAGAAATATTTTGAGTCAAAATGTGGTCACATATAACAGGTTTAATCATTTGAACATTTACATTTAGAAGTAATGATAAAATATTTTAATGCATTTATGTAAATCTTACATCTTCATTTCCTGCAATGAGAAAGTCACTTCTTGAATCATTTAAGAAATGTTTTTATGCTTGATTTTACTACTCTTGATTATTTTACGATGATAATCTTCATTATATAAGTTATTTGATTGCACATGAATAAAATATACTGTTATCCTAAATTGGAAAAAAAATCTTTCCAATTTTTAAATTTGGTTTCAGTAAGTTGCACTTATTTTTAGTAGAATGTTTTAAATCAATATGTATGAAGTTCGTTGGGGATTGTTTTTCACTCCTATTCAGCGGTAGAATTGATTTTTGTCAGCAGGATGAATATAAACCACAGAGTATAATGGGATCACTGATCTTTTTACTCTTATATCGGAACAGGGTGGACCAAGTAAACTAGTGCAAAAGCACTTGACTGGTTTGTTTAACAGCATCACATCTTTTTACCATCCTTCAAATAATGGGCGCTGGCTGGTGAGTATATTCATTTTTCACTCTAGGTTTTGGAATTTTTTGAGATATGGCCACATGTAACCATTACATGTTAGGTAACCTGTACTGTGTTTTTTTATCCTTTATATCATCTTTGGCTATATGTAAATGATTACATTCAAATTAAGTTACTAAATAAACTAAGATAATACTGGTATGATAACAAGTGACAAAATGCTACATTCTGGCAACAAAATAGTAACAAAAATGCCACCAAAGCATAGAATGATCTTTCCAGTTTTATTTGTTTGTCACTTTGTGTGGGGGTTTTTTTGTTTGTTTTTTTAAGTTTTCTGGTTAAAATGGCTTTTCATGTAATGGAAGGTTAATGTTATCCTGGAAGTTAAAGCGGAAGTTTGAAATATATTTGTATTGATCATTATCAGTATATAATTGGTGAGAGTATTCTATTCTGTCTAGATATACTATGCAGGTCTTTGTAATAAAATTATTAGAGCTGTTATTTTAAAAATCTTTAATTGTGAGGGTACAGAGGAACCATGAATGTCTATCTGTGAGATATAACCTACCTTGGACTTTTTGCTTCTGTGTCCCCAGAACAAGTTAATGAAACTACTTCAGCGGTTGCCAAACAGTGTTGTTCGAAGATTGCATCGTGAAAGATACAAGAAGCCTTCTTGGTTAACTCCTGTGCCTGATAGCCATAAGCTTACTGATCAAGATGTTACAGACTTTGTACAATGCATTATTCAACCTGTCCTCTTGGCTATGTTTAGCAAAACTGGTAGTTTAGAAGCAGCCCAGGCTCTGCAGAACCTTGCACTCATGAGACCTGAGTTAGTAATACCCCCTGTACTTGAAAGGTAGGTGTAGCTTTACATGCTTGCTGAAGCCTCAGCAGTGGCTACAGTTATTCTGGAAGGCAGCTATGCTCACCACTATACCACCAACGCAACCTATACAGTTACTGTGATTCTCTCTTCCCTCTCCTCTTCTGTTTGGTTTTCTTTTCTGTGGGGTCTGTATTGCTATCGTGTGCCTATATCTGTTCCTGGAGGAGAAGAAAGACATTTTAACCTAATGATTTATGACTTCGTAAAGGTTTATTTGAGAGAAAAGGCAATTGACACGACATGGGTAAAATAAGTATTTTATATTATTTGCACATTTTAGTTACTCAAGTGCTCATAAATTGAGCTCTGGCTATTTTTTTTTATTTTTATCGGAATGCAATTGTCACAATGTATTGAGAATATGGCAGTAAAAGTGGTTTTGGATTTCTGTTATTTCTTAGAACCAGTGACACAAAAAAATTTGATTGTCTTTATTGTTTTCATATATTATATAATCTTAGGTGTATTGTTTCCACAGGGTAGACCTTATTGCATTCATTTCGTTTCTTGTGTTGAACTAGTAACAAAATAATTTTCCATTTGCTGAGTCACTGTCACAATATAGGCTTGATGTGCTTCCCAAGACAGAGCTACTCTGAGTTGTTTTGAGAGTAGGTTACTTCAACTTTCTGTTATTCCTCTGCTGCCTGAACTTGAGCTTTATAATTTCTCTCTAAATACCTTTGTCAAACGTGGAAGATCAGTTTTTAGAGCCCAGCAGGATCTAACAGATTGAGTTCCATAAAACTCAGATTTGTCCTAGGACCTTAGTGGGAAGAGCAGAGTAGTTTGTAGCTTGTTATTCCTGAATTCTAATAAACATTGACTCTTAGATTAGATACAATCCTATTGGAATGTGGAAGTGGATTAAGATGGTTGAAATAATGCAGAATTACCAGTTTATGTTCCTTTTCACTGGAATTTGCATGGAGAAAGGTGGAAAGATGGCAGGAGATTGGGGAAACATATACCTTTCCTTTATTTGTGTGATTCAGTTAACCTTTGAGAGCATATATTCACTCAAAATATTTTGCTAGCTACAAACCTTTAAGCTAAAATGCAGTTTATGAATTTATTATACTTAATGTATCATGTATGGTTATCTGTGACGGAAATTTTTTTAAATTCTGTTTTCAAACTGTAGAACATATCCTGCACTAGAGACTTTAACAGAACCTCATCAGCTCACAGCTACTTTAAGCTGTGTAATTGGAGTCGCCCGCAGTTTGGTATCAGGGGGCAAATGGTTTCCTGAAGGTCCAACACATATGCTACCTCTGTTGATGAGAGCGTTGCCTGGGGTGGATCCAAATGACTTTAGTAAATGCATGGTGAGCATATTTATGATTCTATTTGTATCTAAGTTATAACTATAAGTGGACATCCTGTTAATTTTTTTCAAATACTCTTCGGACATAGTTCAATGTAAAATTTTTCATGATAACAGAATTATATCTGTAGATGCCCAAGTTTAGGTCTGTGGAGGGTTAGTTGATATGTATAATGTATTCCTTCATAAGAAACTTGCTGTAACCTCTAGTCATTTAATGATCATTTAATGTTTTAAAGCTTACTATATATTTACTATTTTCCTTAAGCAGAGACATTTAAAAGCATATGGTCACTTGCACTTACCTTCATCTACACTGTGACAAAGGGGCAGGGTACACATTACAGGTGTAAACGGCCAGATCCTGGCTGTACATGCCTGTCCTGACATTGCTCCTCTTCCTGGTCTCTAGCTTCTGCACCAGCATTTACTGTTTACTCTTAGTTATGGTTCATTTCAGGAGGGAGGCAAGGTAACTTCTCAGTGACAGAAGGTTAGAGCACTTTATGCTTAAACCTAAATAAATAGCTATGTGAAAATAAATGTATAATTTCATTACTAAAGTAACAGCTAGTTCATTTTGAGGAACCTTTAAAAGTTCAATTCTGAGTAAAAAAATTTCCAGAAAGATTGTGGGACTCCCTGAAGATAATTATTTGGGTAGATTACAATATGCTTGTGTTTTGAACTAGAATTATGTAATTAATGTTAAATTTGTTGCATTTTCCCAGATTACATTCCAGTTTATAGCAACATTTTCCACTCTGGTGCCTTTAGTAGACTGTTCATCTGTACTCCAGGAGCGAGATGACTTCACCGAGGTAAGGATGCTTTCTGGTTGCAAAGGAATTAAGTTCTAATTCTTACTGTATATACATAGCAATATTTGCTAGTTTAAAAGCGACTTTGGGCCTGGCTGGCGTGGCCCAGTGGATGAACATTGACCTATGAACCAGGAGGTCATAGGTCTGTTTCCCTTCCTCTCTCTGAAATCAATAAAAATATGTTTTATAAAAAAACTTTGGATAGGTGCTAACAAGTTAAAGTTACAGTCTTATGACTTCAATGATATAAATAGACGGCCTTGACGTCACTGCTATTTTGACACCCAGGGTTGTGTTTCCATTTCTTTGTTACTTTTTAAATGTTTTGTTAAGCAAAGATAGTGGTTTTTGTTTTTTTTCCATTTTCTTACCCTATATAATAAAACCCTAATATACAAATCTACCGAATGGTGGAACAACCGGTTGCTGTGACAGACACTGACCACCAGGGGGCAGACGCTCAATGCAGGAGCTGCCCCCTGGTGGTCAGTGTGCTCCCACAGGGAACGCTCCTCAGCCAGAAGCTGGGCTCACTGCTGTCCAGTGCAGTGGCAGTGGCGGGAGCCTCTCCTGCCTTCGTGGCAGCGCTAGGCAGACATCCCCTGAGGGGTCCCAGACTGGAGAAGGTGCAGGCCAGGCTGAAGGACCCCCACCACCCAAGTGCATGAATGTCATGCATTGGGCCTCTAATGTTAGTAATAAATCTGTTGAGATTAACATCTAATGAAATTTTCTTTATCACTGTCTGGTTCATTTATTTTTAAAAAAATATTTTTATTGATTGCAGAGAAGAGAGAGAGAGACAGAGACAGAGAGAGAGAGAGAGAGAGAGAGGAGAGAGACATCAGTGATTAGAGAGAATCATTGATTGGCTGCCTCCTGGGGATCGAGCCTGCAACCCAGGCATGTGCCCTAACTAGGAATCGAATAGTGACAGTTTGAAAAATGAAATTGATAATAAAAATGGCTGCTTGACTTCTGAGTTGGCCCCTATATAATACGTTAATTCTTATTTTGGTTCCTGGAAAGTAGTAGATTTGAGTTATTCTAAATTGACATGTGATAATGGTGCTGTATTTCACAGTATACAGTATAAGAATTTAGTGTTATATCTATTTTGTAGACCATATTTGAGTTTTGTTAGTTCAAATAAGAAAAATAAGCTATTTTTAATTTTTCTCCACATTAATGTTGTAGGTGGAAAGAGAACTGTGTTCAGCCACTGCTGAATTTGAGGACTTTGTCTTACAGTTTATGGACAGGTGAGCACGTACCCCAGACCTACCCTTTATCTGAATTCAAAACAATGATTGTTCTGTCCCAGCAATTTTAGTCTCTCCCTGTATTGCAACCACTATTTCACGACTACCCAAGGTGGTGCTTTTGAAGTTATAAAAGGACAGTTGATTGTGAGTCATGTGCAAGTTATGTAGCTGTCACTTGAACAGTCATAATAATAGAGGTTTATCTGATCATCAAAAAAAATGTTAAAACTGGCTTTTGGTTACTAAAATTATACTTTTCTTTGTATTTTTGCATTATGTAGATGCTTTGGACTTATTGAAAGTAGCACATTGGAGCAAACAAGAGAAGAGACAGAAACTGAGAAAATGACTCACTTGGAGAGTTTAGTCGAATTAGGTCTGTCTTCTACATTTAGTACAATCCTCACACAATGTTCCAAAGAAATATTTATGGTAAGAAAAATTAAATTCCAATGTTTTAATTTTATTTGATGTTTTAAAAATTGAACCTTAAGTGCCCTAGCCAGTTTAGCTCAGTGGATAGAGCATTGGCCTGCGGACCAAAGGATCACGGATTCCATTCTGGTCAAGGGCACATACCTTGGTTGCAGGCTCCTCCCAGCCCGCACCCTGGTTGAGGCACATGCAGGAGGCAACCAACTGATGCGTTTCTCTCACATAGATGTTTCTCTCTGTCTTTCCCTCTCTCTTCCGCTCTCTCTAAAAGATCAATGGAAAGATACCCTCAGGTGAGGATTAAACACCCAGCCCCCCCCCCCCCCCAAAAAAAAAAATTGAACCTTAAGCTAAAGTGTATAAATTAATGCCAGTTTATCCTTTCCGTGCTAAAATTTGAAAAAGCTAGTACAGTTATGCTCATTATTCACATACTCCATATCAGCACATTTACCTACTGGCTAGAATTTATGTGTAACCCCTAAGCCAACACTTGCAGTGGCAAAAATTTGAGTTGCACATGTTTCCAGCTGAGGTTGAATAAGGTGACACCCTCCCTACCTTTCTGTTTCAGCTCTCAAACTGTGAACATGTTCTTTTTGTGTCTCTCTAGTACCAGGGTTTCCACATTTTTGTGATTTTGCTGCTTAAAATGGCCGCCAAGGGTAGTGCTGAAGCACTGTCTGGTGTTCTAAGCATAAGAGAGTTGTGCTGTGTCTAACGGAGAAAATAACATGTTTTAGATGAGCTTTGTTCAGGCATGAGTTATGCTGCTGACTTGAGTTCCATCTTATTAATCAAGAATATATATTAAATAAGGTGTCTTTAAACAGAAACACAGTAAAACAAAATTCAGTTGATGAAAATGTATACCCAGAGCCTTATAGGAACATGATCCTGTGTGTCCCTTAGGCACAATGATGTTATTAGCTAGAAAATGAGTATTTGATAATTCTGTGTTCATAGCAACTATATAGAACATAACTACTACAAATAACAAGAATTAACTGTAGTTTTAAAGTTTACAGTTAAATACTGTTTAGGAGAATAGTCTTGGAAATTGTTTATGTCCTAACATGATAGAAATCTATGTACAAACTGTCCTCGAGTTACATCGGACTCGACATATGTCGTTTCGTGGTTACGTTGCCATCTCCCATTTATTTATTAAAAAAAAAAAAGCTCCATCATTTCGACGTATGTACATATGTGCTTTATGTTTTTTTATTATTTATTTACCACAAGTAAAGTTCGGGAATTATTATCTTTCTCTTAAATGTTTTGTACTGTTTCACTTCATTACTGCTGTGTAGGTGCTCCATGTGAGTGACTTAGGTGCTTATGTAGGTGGGTTCCGGCTTACGGCGAAAATCACATTATGTCGCGCCGTAAGAACAGATCTCCGGCGTAACCCGAGGACCTACCTACTGTATATAAAAGGCTAAGCAACGCTATAACACACATTGACTACCAGGGGGCAGATGTTTAATGCATGAGCTGCTGAGCGACAGAAACTTTGCAGAGTGCCCTGTTGCACTCCGGGACTCCTTGGGGGGTGTCAGACTGCTGGTTTTGGCCCAATACCTGCAGGCCAGGCCAAGGGACCCCACCTGCTGGAGGGACCCCGTTCACTCCACAGACGCCTTCAAGCCCCCGCACCGCCCCAGGTGCAGCTGGCCAGGGAGGGACTGCGGGAGGTTGGCTCTAGGGCATGTCCAGCCTGTCTCACTCAGTCCTGCCTTGCCAGCCACCTTCTAATGAATTTCCTTTCAATGTGCATGAATCCGTGCACCAGGCCTCTAGTTAAATATAAAAATCTGGCAAACTAGTATGAATTCATTATTGGTGAGTATCTGTTATGTACAGTATCGTCTTTAAAACCACACTTTATTTCCATTTCTATTTCTTCTCCATCTGAAATTATCACTGTTCAATTTGTTTATTCTGGTTAAAAACTAACCTTACAGCTGCATGAAATATTTACTAAGATTATCTACACTAATAAAAGAGAAACATGGTAATTGGCATACGACCGCTACCCTTCCCATTGGCTAATCCCCCTGTCACTCACAGAGTAGGGCCGAGATATGCAAATTAACTGGCAGCCAAGATGGCGGCCGGCAGCCAGGCAGCTGATGCGAACAGGGAGGCTTGCTTGTTTCAGTGACGGAGAACTCCAACATTACCCGCCTGACTTGCCGGCCTCTCAGCTGCAACTCTAAGCAACTATGTTGGGAATAAAGAAGCTAAAAAAAAACCAGAAACCTGCTTTACTCAGCGGAGCTTCAGCCAGCCAGACCGCAACATTGTATCAAATATAGACGGTAAACAAAGGCCAGAAACCTGTTTTCAGCAGCTCAGGCCTCAGAGCTAAAGCTGGCCCAGAATAAAAAAAAGAAAAAAGAAAAAAAGGAGCGGTTGGGAGCTTCAGTCCCAGCCTGAAAACAGCCCTCAGCCCCTCAGCCAGACTGGCCAGGCACCCCAGTGGGGACCCCCACCCTGAAGGGTGTGTGACCAGCTGCAAACGGCCATCATCCCCTCACCCAGGCTGGCCAGGCACCCCAGTGGGGACCCCCACCCTGATCCAGGACACCCTTCAGGGCAAACCAGCCAGCCCCACCCATGCACCAGGCCTCTATCCTATATAGTAAAAGGGTAATATGCCTCCCAGCACCGGGATCAGCGGAGCCTCGAGGCCTCCCGGCACCGGGATCAGCGTGACAGGGGGCAGCGCCCAAACCCCCTGATCGCCCTGCAGCTCTGTGTGTGACGGGGCGGGGCCCCAACCCCCCTGCCCCCCATGGGCCCTGCTCTGTGTGTGACTGGGCAGAGCCATAACCTCCCCATCGGCCCTGCCCTGAGTATGAGAGTGGCGGCGCCCCAACCACCTGATCGGCCCTGCTCTGTGTGTGACAGGGTGTGGCGCCCCAACCCCCTCCCCCTCCCACGGGCCCTGCTCTGTGTGTGATGGGGTAGAGTCATAACCTCCCCATCTGCCCTGCCCTGAGAGTGACAGTGGCGGCGCCCCAACCCCCTGATAGGCCTTGCTCTGTGGGTGATAGAGGGCGGCGCCCCAACCCCCTGATCCGTCCTGCCCTGAGTGTAACGGAGCGGTGCCCCAACTCCCCTATTGGCCCTACTCTGTGAGTGACAGGGGGGAGCTCCTCAACCCCCTGATCGGTCCTGCTCTGTGCGTGACAGGGGGGAGCTCCCCAACCCTCTGATTGACCCTGCTCTGTGTATGACAGGGTATGGAGCCCCAACCCCCCTGATGGGCCCTGCTCTGTGCGTGACGGGGTGGCGCCGCAACCTCCCCATCTACCCTGCTTTGAGTGTGACAGGGGGCCGTGCCCCAACCCCCCAATCGGCCCTACCCTGAGCGTGACTGAGGGTGGCATCCCAACCTCCCAATCTGCCCTGCTCTGTGCATGACAGGGGAAGGCACCCCAACTCCCCAATCGGCCCTGCTCTGAGCCCGACCAGGGGCTGCACCTAGGGATTGGGCCTGCCCTCTGCCACCCGGGAGCAGGCCTAAGCCAGCAGGTCATTATCTCCGAAGGGGTCCCAGACTGCAAGAGGGCACAGGCCTGTCTGAGGGACCCCCCCCCCCTTCCCCCGAGTGCACAAATTTTTGTGCACCGGGCCTCTAGTATGAGCATAAAATATTAACAAATAATCTCTTATTTAATCAAAATCTTTTGTAGGGAGTTGTTTATAATACTGAGTACTGTTAATCCATGTGGAGAGCCCAGTTTTTCATTCAGCAGTTGAAATCCTGTGACTTGATTGTAAAATTAAATAGATGTGGTTGTCAGAATGACAAAATGTAAATATTAGATATTCTAAAAAAATTATTGTGTTACATTGGACTAGCCAACAAGATAATTATATTTGCTTCCAATAGTTATAATTTTGTGTTTAGTGTTTCTGTGGCAAATAAAATCTTGTGCTTCAATTGTTTTGTTCATGTTAGGGTGTTGTGTAAAGATTGCTTGTACATATGAATGTAACATTAGTGAGCAAATCCTTAAAAATTCTAATGGCTAAAAATTTCATACTTGGTTACATTTAATATAGTCTGAGCATCATTTTAAAAATGTTTTATGTTTAATTTTGCTTAAAATGCTGATTAGACATTTTCATTTTTTACCTATCTTAAAGGTAGCCCTTCAGAAGGTTTTTAATTTTTCGATTTCACATATATTTGAAACAAGAGTGGCGGGCCGTATGGTAGCAGACATGTGCCGTGCTGCTGTAAAGGTGAGTTTGGGTTTTTTGGACTGATGAATTAATGAATCAGCAACCAGCAGGTTTATGTGACTATGTTTGTTATACTTAAAATACATAGTCCCTTCAATAGTTGCTTACAGCCCTTATTTGCCATGAATATAGTGCTAGTGTATACTTTGTGACTGTTAAGTATTTATACCTTTCAAAAAACATTGTATACATATGTTTCAGTGCTGCCCAGAGGAATCTTTGAAGCTATTTGTTCCCCACTGCTGCAGTGTTATAACTCAGCTTACAATGAGTAAGTCATATAGTTTCCATTCTGTATTTACAATTTTAAATAAAAATTTTTTCTGTTTCTAGAATTCTCTTGATAAAAACATATCCTTTAAGCTATGCAGTATCTTAATTTTGTAGTTTTGGGGGAGATTGCTCAAAATAAGCTATCACCATGTTGACAGGCAGATTAGAAATTTTACTTTATTCAATTAATATTTTCTTACAAGAACCATTTAAAAGTTGCCACAAAAATGCCAGTTATTTTGTGATATGTGCACAGTCAGACGTTTGGCTGCTGTGTTTATTTTCTGAATTGTGAGTTTCCACCTCTAGAGTAAGAAGGAATTGAAAAGTCTCCCTAAAAGAGACTTTTTCAGGTATCAGAAATATTAAATATAAATCTGTAAACAATAATTCATTTAGTTGGATACACAGATTTTTTTTTCTCTCCTCTGTACTATTTTGCCTTTTTTAGATGATGATGTATTAAATGAGGAAGAGCTAGACAAGGAGTTACTATGGAATCTTCAACTTTTGTCTGAGGTATTGTAAATCTTTGGAATAAAAACATACAATTGTGAAAACGTTGACTTGCTCTTAGTATTTATTCCTTTTTGAAAATTTGATATTAAAACATGACAGGTCATAAGTTTTAGGTATTTTGATTTAGTGGCAGAAAGTCAGATGATGTCACTTTCTGGTATCAGAGGAGTATAATTATCGATTACCTTATATTCAGTATTATTGACTTTTTACTGATTAATTCCAATATAGTTAACTCATTAATTGAAAAGGTTATTAGATTTGGGAATTCTTTTTTTCTCTATGTCCTAAAGTTGGCCATTAATCAAACTTTAGCATTTTTTATGGGTTAGTTCAGGAACCAAAGAACAGAAATTCCATTAAGTTAGCTTTATCTCTTAAAGGAGAGGGACTCTTTTGGAAAGGATGTTACTATGCCATGGCACTTGAGAGCCTAGACTCCGAAAATGAGTTTGACCTTTAAAAAGAATAGATTGTTAGAATATAATGAAAAAGTAAGTCCTAAAATGAATTATTTTAAGAGAAACACTTTTAATGCTTGTAGGCTTCTTTAATGCCAAACATTAACCTTTGCATTAATTATTGATTCTTAAATCTTTTATCCCAAGTATCTTCGGGCTAAAAAATCTCTCTTTTTAGATTACTCGAGTGGATGGAAAGAAGTTGCTTCTTTATAGGGAGCAACTTGTAAAGATTCTCCAAAGAACCCTACATTTAACCTGTAAGCAGGGTTACACTCTGTCCTGCAACCTTTTGCATCACCTCCTTCGTTCTACCACACTCATCTACCCTACAGAATACTGCAGTGTGCCGGGTGGCTTCGACAGGCATCTCTCTGAATACTTTCCTATCAAGGCAAGCATTTTCAATAATTTAGGGTTTAAGGATATATTCGGTTATTTTCCTAAGGAATTCAAAGTGTGGTGGTTGTTTTTCTTGTGTATGAAGGTGTCACTTCTTTATTTTAGAAGTAGATTATATTAAAGCTTATTGGGTTGTTTATTTTGAAGATCTAATTGGCTTTTTAAGTGATTTGTGAATGAGGCAGCATCCCATCTGGCAACTGAAGTGGTGCTCCCTGGAATGTTTTAAATGTGTGCAGCATAGTACATAGTGCTGGAGCTCCTCTACCTTTCTTTTCTGTTTTTGTGTGAGATGACTTGTTATGCCACATCTAACCTGTATCATTCAATATAATTTTATCCGGTAACTCAGTAGACTCACATAAATTCACTATTACTCTTATAAGTAAACTAACATTTGAGGGGCTCTTCAGGGAGACCTTTTCAGGAGTTATAATGAAGGGATAATATGTTGTCATGCCATTTTTGTGTGCATTATTCACTATCGTGGGTTTGGAACACTTGTACATATTCTAACATTTTCAATTATGTATTTGTTCCTTTTTCAACTTCACAACTGGCTGAACAAATGCTGTTCTTTTCTAGGACTGGGGTAAACCGGGGGACCTCTGGAATCTGGGAATCCAGTGGCATGTTCCTTCTTCCAATGAGGTGGCGTTTGCCTTCTTTCTGTTGGACTCTTTTCTTCAGCCTGAACTCATCAAACTCCAGCAGTGTGGGGATGGAGAAATCGAAATGTCTAGGTTAGTTTTTTGTTTTGTTTTTAAATAATTAATTGGTGTTAGTTTTTATGGTTTCAGACTAAAAATATCCTTTTTTGTGTCTTTCCTTCTCTCTCTGGATGTCTGCTGTATTCATTTTCAGTGAGTTTTGAACATGGACATGAGTGTAATTAGAAACCATTTAATATAGCGTTGTGTAACAGAAAGTTTGTCATAACATTTAAACATAAATGGTTTTTGTCCTCACTTGTTTGTAGTGCTTTTTACTTAGCTGTTTCACTTGTGCATCTTCGGGAAGTGTGTAGCTCTGTCCCCTTTGAAAGTAATGCCCACTTTCTAGGTTCAGCTTAGATTTATTGGTCTGTTTCTTCTTGGTAATTCATTATTGCTGTTAATATTCCTTAGGAGAAATGTCTCTGTGAGATAATTTTTTTTCCTTTTCTATAGGCTTTAATAAAAAAATTATTTGAAATCATTAGACTTTTATAGTTTGGATATTTGACAGTTCCTAAAATAATAGTAGGAAAATTACTGTGTGTCAAATATCAGGAAACTTTAATAGCAAATTCAGTAGAAATGGGATTGGAGGAAGAAGTATGATTGACTTCATGTAAACTATATAGTCTGTTGCACAAAACTGCCTTTTGAAGTGAACGTTTAGCTAGTCCATTTTTAGATGAGATATGCTTGAAGATTTCATGTAACACTGTTTTCTTGTGGTAGTGATCTTTAGGTAAATAGGTGATTAAATTCAGAATTGTTTGACAAAGCACAATCAGTCTTTGTTACCTGTGATCATTTAGAACCTGCTTAAATATAAGCACATCTCTTATTACCAGTAAATATCTGTTTAATTACCTTGAACTATTAAGTGGGTAAACTGTGGTGGTTGCCATTTTTTTTGCCTTAATTTTGTATATCCCCACTTGATGAAGTTTTTGTACTTCCCCCTAGATTCTTGGCTTTTTATAAAATAGGGATTTGGGGTCTTGTAAAATATGAAAATACCTTTTATTTTTTTCTAGAGATGATGTTCTACAGAGTCTGACTATAGTGCATAACTGTTTAATTGGCTCAGGAAACCTCCTACCTCCATTGAAAGGAGAGCCAGTTGCTAACTTGTAAGTAAAAATAACTACTTTACATATTTTGCTTTTTTTCCATTTGGCATATATTTTAAGTCTTAGTCACATAATGATTTTCTGGTTTTATAGTTATTGGTGGTGTTTGTATCACTTTAACCTTTTTGTCATTGATAGGCCAAAAAATACCAGAGGCACAATTTAGGTCTGTAAACTTTAAGGCTTATTCAGATCTTCATATGGTGCCAGGATAATTTTGAATGTTCATGAGTTTTAAATATTAATTTAGAGATATTTAAGTTTATCTATTAGATTACTAAGTTAATTAAGAAATACTCTGCTTTAAAAAGGAAAGAAAAATACTTTTAGTCTGCCGTAAATGTTGATTAAAGATTTTGCAGCAAAAAACGGTGTTTTTTAAATAAAAATTTGTCCAGTGTTATTCATTATGATTTTGAACTTTTTAGATCTATCAAGTTGCTTTTTTTGAATTTAAGTGCTTTTCAAAGTATTATTATTTTGAATTGAGTGTCTTGATTTAGTCTATTGTTCATGCTACCATTTAAGTTAAAAAATTAAGTTTAATGGACATCAGCAAATATGTAACTTTAGCTCACATAATAAGTAGATACTAGTTTCAGTATACCATCTTAGATCATTTTCTGTCTACATCAACATCTCATTGCTGAACAACTTAATGAAAATCACATAAAAATGAGTAAGTAATCCCTGCCTGCTAAAAAACACAAAGAGGAGAATTATTTGTGGATTTTACAACAAAAATATTAAAAAGCTTCAAGGAGTTGTTTTAAAATATGACTTGCTTGTCTTTCCTATATTTTGTATAATCATTGTTTGGAATCATGCTTTTTCATAATTTCCACTTATTTCAATCTAAAAGCTGTTTTTAGACATTGAATTTTAGCTTGCTCATTAGATTTAAGAGGGTGAAGTAGGGTCATTTCAAGTAAGGGAATCTGTTTTCAGTTTACCTAGGAATTTGCTGAATTCTTTTAAAGAACCTTTGTTTTTCATTAGTTTTATAGTTTGATATCAGAGCAATATTACCAAATTCATTTTTATTATGAGAGATTGATTTTTAAATTATTTTTTAAATTCTCACCTGAGGATATGTTTATTGATGTGTGAGAGAGAAAAGCATGGATGGTTGCCTCCCATAAACATCCCCACCAGGGTTCGAACCCACAACCTAGTTATGGTCCCTGACTGGGAATGGAACCCGCAGCCCTTTTGGTGCTTGGGAATACCTTTTGCTCCAACTAACTGAGCCTGCCACCTGGAGGGGCATGAGAGATTCATTTTAAACAATTTTAAATGAGACCTAAAATTAAAATCAATGGTTTTTATTTTCTTGAAGATTTTAACAGTGTGTAATACAGTAAAATATTTAATATGTAATGAGTTTATTAAATTAGTAAATTTAGTTGTGCTTGGACTGTTGACAATGAGAAGTGTCTTCATTTAATCCAAAAATTTATCTAAGAGCAAAAGCATGTATAATCTGTGTATATGATGAGAAGATTTTTGGTAGCGTGATCATTTAGATGTACTTCTTGAAGGGTCAGCTAAGGATGCCTGGAGGTTTTTCAATATGGAAGTTCATATCATCATGTAGCCATATTATACCATGTGCACTATAATAGGGAATTGACACAAATAATTCATCTTTTTTGTGTATGTATTTTTACATGTATATTTTTATTGGTTTCAGAAAGGATGGGAGGGGGAGATAGAGATAGAAACATCAATGATGAGAGAGAATCATTGATTAACTGCCTCCTACATGCTTCCCAACTGGGGATCAAGCCTGTAACCTGGGCATGTGCCCTGATCAGGAATCGAACCATGACCTCCTGGTTCATAGGTCAACGCTAACCACTGAGAACACCAGCTGGGCAAGAATTTATCTTTTGAAATAAATGTGCATCTGGACAAAATTGCCATATATTTTGTTATTATACACCAATTAGGTTTATATATAATGAAATGCATTTTCAATAAGGAAAATAGTACCATGTTATAAAAATGTTACGAATGCCATGGACTATAACTAAATAATTTGTTAGCCTGCATTACTATACACTATAAACTATAAAATTGATCCTCAATATCTTTTATAGGTTTTTCCCAGAAAAGTTGGAGAAGAAAGATAATTTAGATGGAGTTACTTTGTTTTTGACTTTTCACTTTTAGTGTGAAAATTTAATATAATGAAGTAATAAAAGCTATTTAATATAAATATACAATTATAAGATTTTTAAATATATTTAAAAGTCTACATATAAAATGTTTTCTTGTATACAGGGGTGGACAAAAGTGGGTTACAGCCCTAACCGGTTTGGCTCAATGGATAGAGTGTCGGCCTGCAGACTGAAGGGTCCCAGGTTCGATTCCGGTCAAGGGCATGTACCTTGGTTGCGGGCACATCCCCAGTAGGGGGTGTGCAGGAGGCAGCTGATTGATGTTTCTCTCTCATCGATGTTTCTAACTCTCTATCCCTCTCCCTTCCTCTCTGTAAAAATGGGTTACAGTTGTTTGTATGAAAAATACAATAATAAATAATAATACAAGAAAGCTGTTTCCCATACTCACAACCGTAAAACTACTCTTGCCCACCCCTGTATATCTAGTAATACCTAACAAAATAAAATATGAAATGATGAAAAAGTCAATCATTTTAATCATTGAATTGTACACATTTTTAAGATTCTTTATAGTTACGTACATCTATGCAGGATAATGATTAAATGAAGTTGAAATAAAAATGAATGAACAGCCCTTAGCCATTGAGTTGCCAAAACATGGAGTTTGTATAGTCTTCCCTGGGCCTTTAACTCATTCTTAACAGAATCCTTTCCTTTAAAACCATTTTCTTAACTGGTATCATCTTTATCTGAAATTTTAATTTGTTTTGGTAATGTATGCCACCTTATATTTTCTTTATATAACATTTTAGCTTTTTTTGGCTAATAGTAAATTGGTTCTCACCAAAGTATCATAAAATAAAGTTAGCTTTTTAAATTTCTGAAATGCTTTTTTAGTAAGTCAGTTGTTAAAATCTTCTAAATGTACATTGATTTGAAAACACTAAGTAATTTCAGTTGATGGTGCCATTGTTCTGTGATATTTAATCACACTGCCTGGTGTGAAGAAAGAATATCTGTAGCATAACTCTCAATTAAATTATCAACAGCACATCAGTTTGAAACTAGTATATAAAAACAACAATAGGAAAGTAGTTGCTCCACGGGAAATAAAGTGTATCAGGTCGGGGAGAAAAGGAAAGACATAGATGTGACAGATGCTTTAGTGTAATGCCTAAGGTGCTAAAATTTTACCGATGTTAATAACAGACAATTTTGCCTTTGTATTATGGGACAGTATGTATGCATTTTCCAAAATACTCAAGCAGTTTTGGGAAGCACATAGCAACTCAGTTTTTTAAAATTTCAACTTATGCTTTTCTTTTTCTTATATAAATCTCAATTAGGTAAAATAATCTAGGTGCTTTATTAAGTTTGCCTTGCGCATGTATTAGTAGTATTTGTCTTCTGGAAAATTGAAAAGTAATGAAAAACTAAGTTCTGAGATTTTCTGTAAGAAAATCTAACCCAGTTTCTAATAGAATATATGGGATGATCTTAAAATCCCATTGTTCAGGGGAATGGCTACTATAAATATATGAACTATGCTAAGTGATTAGAGACTGACAAAAAAATACTTAGATACGTTGATTATTCTAATAAGTATAAAATAAATGATATACCTAATGTATCTGCATTGTAATTTTTGGCCTATAGGAGTATAGGGGGGTCACTAAATATCTTGTACATACTATACATTTTACTGTTTCAAATGATGGGTAAATTACGGTTCCTTGAGGATAATTAAAGGATACATTTTTTAGTTTAGTACAATTTTGATTTTTAGCAGTTTTGTTGTACTAAGTCTGCCCAATTACTCTTACATTGGAACCTCTCTATTTCGCCCTTGGAACCTTGAGTTGATGATTTAATAGAAATATTTGTGATATAGTTTATACTCACAGTTCTACCTTTATAGATGTGGAAGTTGGAGTATGTCTTTGCAGGGTCACAGGAATTTTGGACACTTGCCTTTAATCCTCAAATCATCATTAATTTCTCCTTTTGCAGTCCACTCATAATCTTTTAGGTCTAACCAGCTATCACAGAAAGTAAAAAACTAATATCTATAAAAACAGGGTTACTCAAGGTAGAGGAGTCATCATTTTTCATCTCCAGTATTTCTTCTTTACTTTATACCCCTTTTCTCTGGTAGATCTGCAAGTCATTCTTAGTTAGATCATTCTTAAGATCTCAGCTTTTACTAACTTTTCATTCAAGAAAAATTCATACTTAAGGTCTAAGAGTTGAGACCATTTCATTAATATGTGAAAGGATGTGTTGTTATGCGTTGAGGGGCAGGGCTAGCTAACCTCTCTTGGCACCTCCAGGGAACTACCCAGCTCTGCTGGGGGAGCCGCACACAGAAAAGGAAACAGTTACTACTCCACGGTGAGTAATCCTGTTTTCTCCTTATTTCACCTTCTGACTGTTTTCTTTGAATTTTTAAAAGCTTATGTGTCAGACATGAAAATAGTTCTTATGCTCAGCATAAATTTTCAACCTAGCACTATGTAAGATTTCTCTTTCTTTACTTAGCAACCTGTTATGCCCATGGTAGAGGAAGAGCTAGCTTGTCATTTGTGTCTATTGCTATTATTGATGCCTAGGATTGAATTGCATAACAGAACACAGAAATAGGCCAATTGTCTCTTGTGAAACACTTCGTAATCTTGACTGGAAAAAATATCTAGTGGCTTGGTTTTATACCTTTAGGTTTGTTTTCATTTGGGAGGGGAGTGATTATTGGAAAGGGTAGCTTGTTCTTTCACTTACAGACAGGAAGAGTTATTACTGTTTGCGGTTGTTTTACGACAGTTAATCTAGCTTTCATTTGCATATTTGATTTGTATATTTTGTTTTTATGTTATTAGTCACTGCTTCCCTTTTCACCATCTTTTTCCTCCAGTGATTGTTTTCAGTTCTACTCTGATCACATCTAAAGAAGATTGCCATCTAGTGGTACCAATTACGTAGTTGTGGAAACTTACAGGTCCCATCCCTCCTCCCACCCCCCGCCCGGTGGCACACATATTGAATAGATCTTGTTATAAATTAGATGGCCTGGTACTATTTAGTTGATTTAACTTTATTATTTATGGATGGTATTATTTATAATATGTTGTGTTGAAATTACTTGTCAGAATTTTATTTAGTTCTTATGTCAAATTACTCCATGTAAAATGAAACAGTGAATGTGAGAAGAATAAATTTCACTTGGGGTGGGAAAGTGATGGTATTTGATTTAAGTTATATATATTTCTACTATGGCTTTTAATCAGAACACAGATCTATAAGTTGACAGTATTTTAATTCTATTCAGCTAAGATGTTCATAACTAAAAGTTACAAGAGCAGTTTTAAGTAACAGAGTATGGATGGCTGCACATGACTTATAAAGTGGCCACAAGAGATAAATAGGTCATGACTAGAGATTTCTTTTAGAAAATTATTCTTTTAGAGATCAGAAGAAGAAAAATGGTATAAATATGTTTTTACACTTGCGGAGAAACATTTATTGTAAAACATGTCAACCCAAATGGAGTTCAATAAACTTATTAGATAAGAGATCAGTTAAAGCTGAATCTTAGATAAATAAGCCTAAAAGGAATTAGTGATGGATAAGAATAAACAAAACTGAAATATATGTCTAACCAGATGCCTTCTCTACACTTGAGTTCTGTAGATGTACTTTAATTTAGACTTTAAAAATAAAAGCCTAAGTAATTTTTATTTAAATGGGTTACTTAATACTATACTTTAAAATCCCATGCTGGCTGATATTTTTAAGTAATTATAATAACTGATCATCTTTCTTCAAATTTTTTAATAGGGAAACTATTTAGAGTGACACGTGGATTTTAAAAATTGGTATCAGGGCTTATAGTTGAGACTTGTTTTTAAAAGTGATTACAGTGTAATTGGTTACTGGGATCATAAATGCATACCAAAAAAACCATTTCAAATTACCAATTAATAGGGTTGGTTTTTTTTTCATTTGTTTGATAGGTTCTCCCCCCTCCCTTTGGATATAGTAAAAATTGTTCTGAGGTTTGCTGTAGACATTGTTTTTTATGTTACCTGTAAGACTAATTTTGTGATAATTAAAATGTATGCTTGGTTCAATATTATTTGGTACTAGGTATGGACTGGGTATGGTACAATTGTATTACTACTTTAGTAAACTACTTTTATTTATAGCAGCAGTGAGGAGACGTCCTCTCATGTGACAGCTCATGACAAGCACCTCCCCATCCTCTACCAAGGGAGGTTAGGCCAGGGTGGTAACAGTCTATGCTTTTTGCTTGTTACTGCTTAAGCACAGCCTTTTTCTCTTTGCTGGTGAAATCTAGTTTCAGTAGACATGGACTCCCCTTTACATTCATTTTTAAGGAATCTTATTTTTACTGACTAAATTCTGGGTACATATCTATTTTTCAGTCATACACAATTTTACAGAATGCTCAAGTTTCCAAGTTTTATGTAATGAAAACCAGATTTTGAAAAAATATATTTTTAATGATTTCAGAGAGGAAGGGAGAGGGAGAGAAAGATAGAAACATCAGTGATGAGAGAGAATCATTGATTGGCTTTCTCCTGCACGCTCCCTACTGGGGATCTAGCCTGCAACCCCGGGCATATGCCCTTGACTGGAATTGAACCTGGGACCCTTCAGTCCATAGGCTGACACTCTAGCCACTGAGCCAAACCAGCTAGGGCTGAAAACCAGATATTAAGAATTAGAATTTGAACTTGAAAATCTCTGAGAAGCAAATTAGCATTTTATATTATAACCCATTACCATTCTTTGTTTATACTCTGTAGGCTTGGTTTTGAATCTTGTGATGATACTGTTTTCATCCTAGGCATAGATTATGGGGAGGGACATACTTATAATTGGCATTTTAGTAATCTTGATGTTATTACTATTTAGATAAATCCCAGAATTTAAAACTATGAAATATTAAGGTAAAGATAATTTAACATATGAAAATACACTAGAGATGGAGTGTGTTGATTTTAAAGTGTTTTCTTCATTACAAGGCTGTGTAATTCATGAATGATGAGTAATAACTGTAAAATTTCTGTTTGTTGCTACTTAGCCCTTATATATGCTTATCCCTTGTTTTCTTGGCATTTGTGCCTGTTTCTCCTCTTAGAAAGTAATATCTCTTTGTTTATTAAAAGTTATTGAATTCAGTCTCATATTTTGATATAAAATGTTGAAAATTAAAGTATTTTTGTAGAAAATTTAGATTTCAGTTACAAAAGTTTGTATTTTCCAATACCTGTTCTCACATACCTAAAAAGTGACTTTTCATTTAATAGATTTAACTAGTTCAGTTTATTTCAGTAACATGTTTCTTTGTGATACATCTTTAACTAGGAAATGCAGTGGGTTTTTGTTTTTTGTTTACCTCTGAACATCTTCTGAAGTAGTGGCATTTTTCTGCAGATGGTAGGAGAAATACGTTTGGCTGGTTTTAAGAGGAAGGGTATTGATTGTCTAAAGAAGCTTGTCTGCTATATATTCTACAATAAAATTTGATTGACTACTTTTTTTGGTGACTACTTTTAACCTTTACTATGCTATTACAAATCTGACTTTCCTTTGTATAAATGTTTATCATCAGACTTAAGCTTTTACACTTGACTATAGAATATCAATACAACACTCATTTGGGCAGTGAATCACTCCCCCCAAAGTCATTAAATGTAATTAACATTTTCTTTAAGATGAATACTATTGTTCTTACTGATGAAAGAGATAGCATCTATCCTCACAAGGATAAAGTAAAGAATTGAAGTATTGAAGATGGGAAATCTGTGTTTGTTAAAAGAGCACCATCATCTTTGTTTTGATTTAAACATTCTAGCAATGACATTTTTCCCTTTAACCCTTCTTATTGGTATTATTAATAAATACAAGCACTCTTGTTTTTGTACAGGGTTCCAAGTATGGTGTCCTTAGAAGAGACAAAGTTGTATACTGGACTTGAATATGGTATGTGAATCCTAATCTGAGTAAATCTGCGTAGTCTATTTTTTTTGGTCAATTACTCTAAAGGGTTAAAATGGAATAATTTTGTGGTTATAATTTTCCTATGCTCCTTTTTATATGTAAAAGTGAATATTAATTACACAATAGTTATATTTTTCTGGAGAAACTAGAAAATTATTATATAAGGGTAAGCTAGTACAAGATAGAAATTTGGGTCAGTAAATATTTGGATATTTTCTATTTGCAGAGGCAGACTTTCATATACTGTAATATTCATTTATAGTTAGGATTGTTTTAGAATGATATACTTGATATGAATGAGAATATTATAACCTTTATATATTCTGACTATCTCTGTATTTTTCTACCATAGTTAAATTTCATATAAATATTTATGCAAAGCATTTTATTCTGTTCATTTAATGTTCTGAATCTAACATTGGTAGAAATTTGACACACTTCCCTATTGCTGGATTAACACTAGAGTTAGTTGCATTAATTGCTAGAGTAATTTTAGCTTGCTTGATTTGGGTCATCCATAACTAATTAGAGAATCCTATGCATTTATGGTCTCTAGTTAGTGAATAGAGTCTTTGAAATATTTATTGGCAAAGATGGGTTTTTTTTCCTCCCTCTTCCTTGCCTGTCTAATCAAGTTTTATAAGCAGGTCATTGTAAATGTGAAGGTTATTCTATATATTGCTTAATCATTAATCCAACTATTATGAAGGCCAACTCACTTGTTTATTTTTCTCCTGGATACATTATCTCTTCTTTAAACAAACTGTTGATAAAAACTTCAACAGTATGGAAGTGTTTCAGTGTCTCTAAAATACCTTCTCATTTTTCTAAAACAGATTTATCCAGAGAGAACCACCGAGAAGCCATCGCTAGAGTCATAAGGAAACTTCTTAGTAAGTACATATATGCATTTTTTTACTAATAAATATTTAGAATTTAATTCTGTAACATATGTGCTTTTACTTAACATTTTTCATTCTCAGTAGTGAAAATATCACACGGTGTTTTTTTCCTTAACTAATAGACTTTTAATATATTAGGAGTACTGTAGTAATTCAAAATATTTTAACCAAAATCTGATTTCTTCTCCTCATATAGACCACATACTTAATAATTCAGAAGATGACACCAAGTCATTGTTTCTTATCATAAAGGTACAGTTGTCACCTAAAGTTTCATAATTATTAATAGGATAGGTTTGATGCAATGACTTAAAAATATAAAATTTGAAATTTTTTGACACAGATTATTGGAGACCTTTTGCAGTTCCAAGGATCTCACAAGCATGAATTTGACTCCCGTTGGAAAAGCTTTAACCTAGTAAAGAAATCAATGGAAAATCGGGTCAGTATTTTCCCCTACAACTCTGAAATAATATTTTTAAAGATGTGTAATGTTGATATAACCACCTGATTTAGTGATTATTAGGCATAGAGAAGAAGTTGACATAAGTAAAAATAGTAGATTTTTAAGTATGATATCATGATATAATCAAAAGGGTCCTAGGAAAAAAATATTTTTCTGAAATAAACTCTTCTGTCTATTTCCACAGTCTCTGAACTCTCAGTGGGAATTTGGAGTGTGGTAACTTGGCAATGGCATTGAAACTGCCTTGTAAGATCCTGAAGTACTGAGTAAAAGATAGGAATTGTCCAAAGGCACTTTATGTAGATCAGAGGAAAATAAGTCTAAAGGTTGTGTTAGTTTCTTATGTAGGCAAGAAATGCTAGACAGAAGGAATCTACACTAATAAAAGAAAGATGCAAATTGACCGTACCTTTGTGACACCCACCAGCCAATCAAGAGTGAGTATGCAAATTAACCCAACAAAGATGACAGGTTAATTTGCATACACAGCCGCTCCAGGCCTCTGGGCAGCGTGGGAAGGCAGAAAGGTGTCTCCAGGCCAGAGCAGAGATGGTGCTGGCAGCCAGGGGAAGGAAGGCCCATTCTTGGCACGAATCTTCGTGCATCAGGCCTCTAGTCCTATATAATGAAAGGCTAATATGCAAATCGACCTAACAGTGGAACAGACCATCACTGTGACACATGGTGACCACTAGGGGGCAGATGCTTAATGCAGGAGCTGCCCCCTGATGGTCAGTGTACTCCCACAGGGAGAGCACTGCTCAGCCAGAAGCTGGGCTCACAGCTGGTGAGCACAGCAGTGGTGGCAGGGCAGCACTAAGGATGTCGTGGGGAGCGGGCCTAAGCTGGCAATTGGACATACCCCAAGGGCTTCTGGACTATGAGAGGGTGCAGGCTGGGCTGAGGGGACCCGACCCCACCTCCCCACTCCCCCACCCCCGTCCTAGTGCACAAATTTTATGCACTGGGACTCTAGTGGTATATAAAAGGGAGGTGTTACAAACATGGCTTGCTTTAGGAAACTGGCTGTTGGGAAGAGTCGCAGGTGCTACACCAGGTCATTTATAATTTTTTCCCCAGAAAGTGCTTTAGTTTTATATTCAGGGGTGTCATTAAAGATTTTTAACTAGATCTGGCTTGAATATTAGAAAGAGCAATATTCAATTGAATGAATTTTGAAAAGCTCTTTTACCGCTGTGAAAAATATGCAGTAGGAGATTGAGACTGGAAATAGGAGGTTGGTTAAAGTATTTTAATAGCCCAGATGGAGAAATAGCCAGAATCTGGTCACTGGCATGAAGATGGAGAAAAAGTGTTTTAAAAAAGAAGGAATTGCCCTAACCGGTTTGGCTCAGTAGATGGAGCGTCGGCCTGCGGACTCAAGGGTCCCAGGTTCGATTCCGGTCAAGGGCATGTACCTTGATTGCAGGCACATACCCAGTAGGGAGTGTGCAGAAGGCAGGTGATCGAAGTTTCTCTCTCATCGATGTTTCTGACTATACCTCTCCCTTCCTCTCTGTAAAAAAATCAATAAAATATATTAAAAATAAAAATAAAAAAGAAGGAATTGTGGGGACTTGATGACCAATGTGACTGGGTAGAAGATTGGGGGTGAGGGAGAGCTTAAATGATAATTTTCAGAAAAATAAAAGGTATTATATTCTGTAGTAAGCACACACAGTCACCTAGGGAGTCTACTTATAAATGTAACTGAGTCCAGAAATTTTCTTTGTAGGCTGTTTGTGTACTTTGACCAAATAAGAACCAACTCCATTGCTTTCTATTGCTTCCCATGCATGAATCTATTCATAATTTATCAGAAAAATGGGGTGTTGGATGAGCCATTTAAAGGGAATATTTCTGTTGTTATACATAAAATTGATTGAAATAGTACATTTTAAAATAAACCTGTTGGCTTTAGAATAAATGAACAACACCAGCCTGCCGTGACCTTCTTTGAACTAATTTTTCATTAAGGGCTTCAGGACAATCCACTGTTGTGGTCATTTAGGGAAAATGTTGAAGTGTTTTCTACTTTATCTTTCAGCTCCATGGGAAAAAACAACATATTAGAGCACTGTTGATTGACAGAGTAATGTTGCAGCATGAGGTAAATATCTTTTTAAAATCAAGATGACTTCTTTAAATGACAGTTTTCCAGATGAATATTTAATTATTTGTGTCACTTCATAATTAAATGAGCTTTTAGTACAAACTTTTGAGATTTGATTTACATTGATTTTTCGTAGCTACGAACACTAACTGTTGAAGGTTGTGAGTACAAAAAGGTACATCAAGATATGATCAGAGATCTTCTTCGTTTATCTACAAGTTCATACAGTCAGGTAAGGCCTAGTCTAAACACCACTCTCCCCACTCCCATTTTATTACATGCAATCTAAATATCCCCGTGTTAACAAGGGAGTTTAAAATTTATTGGCATAGAGAACATCTTTCAAATCGTAAATATATTCATGCTAATTTTGCTAGTCTTTTAAAAATAATTATTATTTTTTCTGTGTGTAATTGCTTCTCCAATTAAAAAAAAATTAATTGAAGTTGATGGATAGTGCTAGTGTAATGTTGCTGCCACTTAATTAAATCACATCATAAAGGCCATGTAATCCCTCCTAGGTGTTATGTTTGGATTTTAGGAAGCTGCTACCATGTAAATTATGGGGTCTATCCTTTAAGGTAGTATGGGACCAAGAGATTACCTCTAATCATGGAAAACTGAAAAAAGTAAAGAGATTCATGTACAGCTAATTATTGTGTATTTATAAAATAATACAAATTGGAAAACTAGTCTCTAACCCAGATATTTCACCTAAACTTACTTTGAAAAGGATTTAAAATATGTACTATGTGTTGTTTTTATATTTACACTGAATATTTTGCTTGTGTTATAAAATATGTGGTGATAACATTGGTATTGAAAAAATTAAGTTCTGTGTTTTAGAGAAAATCAGACTTTTCATTAAGAGTAACTCGGAATAAGAAATTTAATATTCTGCTGATTGTGTTACTGATGAAATGCATACTGGTTCCATTCAGTCTCTCCTTTATAAAAAACATTTGTTCTTATGTAACCTAAGTCGTAGATATGGTTGGTGGTCATGCTTTCCTTTTGATAAAAGATAATTACTTGTTTTTGTTAAGGCATTGCTTCGGTATATTTTTCTATTATAGTATTTAAAATTTTACTTTATGATAATTCATTTAGAAGTTTTTGTAGTTTGTCTACCATTGAATAAAAGTCCTCTGTTAATAATACTCTCTCTAGGTCAGAAATAAGGCTCAGCAAGCATTTTTTTCTGCCTTGGGAGCATATAACTTCTGCTGCAGAGATATCATTCCCTTGGTTTTGGAGTTTTTACGACCTGACAGACAAGATGTCACACAACAGCAGTTCAAGGTACAGTTATTTTTTGTTTTGTTTTATTATAAAAATTTTCAAACATACAGAAAAGTTGAAATAATTCTTCAGTGACTATCTGTATGTCCACCATTCAGGTACTGTCTTTACCATATTAAAGCTTTATTTACTTTATCTCATATCTTATTTCTTCAGCCATCTTATTTTTTTATGTATTTCAAAGTAAGTTGAAGACATCAGTGTACTTCACAGGTACAATTTATTGTTTTCTTCCCAATTATTAAATTATTTATCAAAACCATTGTAGCGGTTCTCAGCCTGAGGGTCGCAACCCCTTTGGCAGTCAAATGACCCTTTCACAGGTGTCGTCTAAGACCATCCTGCATATCAGATATTTACATTATGATTCATAACAGTAGCAACATTACAGTTATGGAGTAGCAACGAAAATAATTTTATGGTTGGGTCACAACATGAGGAACTGTATCTAAAGGGCCAGAGGGTTGAGAACCACTGATTTATACCATCAGATAGAACTGGGCTGATTCAAAGTGATTTTATGAGGGAGAATTGACAGGACTTGCTAGTTGAATGTGGGGGGGACTGAAAAAAGTAAATTATTAAGGTTCTGCATTGTACACCTGGTTGTTGGGTACATCAGAGAGAGGAGACTAGATTATAAATTAATTTGTTTGGACAAGTTTAATTTGAAGTAGTTTCAATAAACTAAGAGGCAAGGCAGTTAGACACCTGAGTTTGGATTTTAAAATACTGTTTCAGTGTATATTGATGATAATTAAAATCTTTAGACATGGGTATGAGAGCCTAGGACAGCCGTGGGCAAACTACGGCCTGCGGGCCAGATACGGCCCGTTTGAAATGAATAAAACTAAAAAAAAAAAAGACCGTACCCTTTTATGTAATGATATTTACTTTGAATTTATATTAGTTCACACAAACACTCCATCCATGCTTTTGTTCCGGCCCTCCGGTCGAGTTTAAGAACCCATTGTGGCCCTCGGGTCAAAAAGTTTGCCCACCCCTGGCCTAGGAGGAGAGTAAGGCAGGACCAGGGGCAGGTGTTGAGAAAACTTCATTAGAAGCTCAAGTGGAAGGGGTAACTGAGAAGGGAAAGGTAATAAATACATTAAAAAATGAGGAAGAATGACAGACGATAAGGAGACTTCTTTCTAGAAGGGAAACTCAACCAGTACTGTCAGTTGCTTTCTGGGAAGAGTTAAGATGAGAGCTAAACAAGTTCCTTGAAATTAGCCTGTAAAAACAGGTCAACAAACTATAGCTTGCGCTCAGTCACTTGCTTTTGTAAATAATGTTTTATTGGAACACAGCCATTCCTTTATGTATTGTCTATAGTTATTTTATGCTACAGTGACAGATAAGTAGTTTCAACAGAAACTGTATGGCCAATTATTTACTACATGATCCTTAATGGAAAAAAATGTGCTCCCCTCCCCTCCCCCCAATGTAGAAGGTGTAACTCATTGGGAGGTATGTTATTGATCTTGTTGAAAGCATTTTAAATGTACAAAATCAGATTGGTTAAGTAATATCAAAATTGAAAAATGTCTATTAGATCAGTATAGGTGAGCTTAACAGTGACCTTAAGAGGACCTGTAAAGGAGTACAGCATCAGGTGGGTAAGAAGTCTGATCGGAATTTAGTTAGGGTGAATGTTCAGGAAATGTTTTGGTACTAATTGTTCTTTTCATTGAAAATGTAACTTAACTGTCATCAGAATCATTCTGATAAATTGAACTTTTATGACTAGAAAATACACAGTATAGTTAAGTAACCTTGTTTTTATATACTTAGGAAAATACGTGGGAAAGATATATTAACTACTTCAGAAATATATTATCCGAATAGCCATTTTTTGAGCTAGCCCCCTATTAAATGACTTAGAGAAAATATTACTGGATGACACTTAATTAATGTCAAGTTCAAATTTCTAAAAGTAACATGCCAAACAAATATGTGAACCTATTTTACTAAAACAGAATCAATAATCACTGTTTAGTAAATTTAAAACCATCATGCAGGTGAGTGGCTTCTTAGTTCCCATAATTATTTTCCTGCAGGGTGCCTTGTATTGTCTCCTTGGAAATCACAGTGGTGTATGCTTGGCAAACCTTCATGATTGGGACTGTATTGTACAGACTTGGCCAGCAATTGTTTCTTCTGGTCTTAGCAAAGCCATGTCCCTGGAAAAACCATCAATAGTGAGACTATTTGATGACCTGGCAGAAAAGATTCATCGTCAGTATGAAACAATTGGCTTGGACTTCACAGTAAGTATAACCATTTCTTAATTCAGATTTTAGTGGAAATACTACCCTGTTAAAATGCTTTTCTATTTTTCTTACCTTTTTTTCTGTAATAATGTTCTTGATAATTAATTTTTAAAAGCATTTGTTTTGTTTTCTTTGTGATCTTTACTGTAGATAGCAGGGTGGAGTAGGAGGTTGGAGCATGGCCAGGAGTGAGCTAGACTGCTCTCTTCCAAGGGGCCACAAAGGGTTACTACATTGTTGTAATTACCATTATTCCCTGTACACGCTGTGGCCTCATTTTTCAAAGAATTGATATTTTAGAGTGCGATTCATACTAGCCCCTGGGTTCATAATTTATAGTGAAGAAAATTGAAATGGAATGATTTGACAAATGAAAAAGTAGAGAATATCAGGTTCCTGGGTGCTCAAATGGAGAGATGTAGCAGTAGATCATCTACAAATCTTCCTGTGCGTATTAGGCGCCCATCAGAATCAGGATGGCTAAAAGAGATGTGAGCACAGTTGAATGCTCCTCTTCTTTAAAGTGGTTATGTTTGATATCTGTCCTCTGGTTTAAAAATCACTGCTCTAAATGTATTCCTTTTTTATTAAGCAGTTTTGCTATTTACAGCTGTCATTAGATTAAACGGCTAAAAATTTTTTTAATTGAAATGTACTTCACATTCCAGACATTCACTCAACAATAGTGTATTCATAAGGTTGTACAACTATCACTACTCTTAATTCCAGAACCTTTTCCTCGGTCAAAAAGAAACTATATACCCAGCAACAGTTACTTCCCAGTTCCCCCATACCTGTAGCCTCTGAAAATCACTCATCTACTTTCTTTCTCTGTGAACTTACCTTTTATGGACATTTCATATAAATGGAATCATACAATATGTGGCCTTTTATTTCTGGCTTCTTTCACATAACATAATATTGTCAAGATTCATCCATATTGTAGTATGTGTCAATACTTCACCTTCCCCCCTTGGCTTTTCTTTTTAATAAGATTCCCAAGTCATGTGTTGGAATAGCAGAATTACTTCAACAATCAAAAAACCCCTCTACCAACCAGATAATGCCTAGCTTAGAAGAAATAAAAGAAGGACTTAGACGCCAACAAGTAAAGAATGCTGATGCCCTAAGGTAATTAAACTTGCCTACTTGTCAAAGAAGATTACTTTATGGATAGTGGGTTTTAGATATCTCTAAAATATAGGTAAACCATAACTATGCAATAAAATTTACACATTGATTCTGTAAAAAAAATACGAAAATTTAGGAAATAATCATTGTGAAGATCCCTGATTGACACTTTTAGCTATGGAGTTGGGAAACACCATCTTAAAATAAACTTAATCTTAATATCATATCTTTTTTCAGTGTGAATTCTCTTTGATTTTTAAGTACAAATATCAGTCATTAAAAACTAACTCATGAACACATCTCTCATAGCACTTATAAATAATTGCTTTTTGGTCAGATTTATACAAATTGGGTATCAGGGTATCAGTAACCTATTTCTAGATTTTTGAGACCAAAGCATTTCAGTGCTTCAGTGGTAAAACTCAAGCAGGGGCCTTCCTATCTTGATTTGTTTCTCTGCCTTCTGAATATGATTATTAATTTTTTCCAGTATCTCTATATAAAAATAATAAACTTTTATATATAGTAGCCTACCTTATATATATACTTGGAGTGCCACATGGGCAAACCACTCCCAACTAATTGATCACTACTCACAAATTGACTTTTGAATGTCCACTCAGGAGCAGTTGAGTTGCTCTGTACCTAGCATAATACTTTTTTTGGTTTTCTTTGTACCTTTCATGTTCTTTTCCCAGTGTCTCTGTTCATCCATTTGCTTTTACTCTGGTTTGCTTCTCACCAATGAGAGGGTGAATCTAGCCAGAATTTGAATTATATTATTACTTTATGTTCATTTTCGTACTTTGTTAAAACAATACCTCACCTGAACTTTTTTTTTTTTAAGGAACTATGAAAATTTGGTAAACACTTTGCTAGATGGTGTGGAACAGAGAAATCTGTAAGTACAAGAATTTTTTAATTCTCAAAGCTTTTATTTTAAATACTATAGGAGTTTTTTGTCCTGGAGGCCTTGAAAGACTGTATCACAAAATATTGTGGACTGATTCATGAATTTACAAGACTAAGAGGGGAAGTTTGGGGCCAATGATAGGAGGGATGTTCTTCAGTATACCTATTTTAATTTGGGGTAATTAAAAATGTTTCAAACTCAGTTGTGCTTTTTTTGTTTTGTTTTTGTTAAAAAGTGGCTTTATGAGCAATGTGTTTTGTGATTTTGTTTTCCCCTTCCCCTTTTTAGGCCCTGGAAATTTGAGCATATAGGCATTGGGCTTCTGTCTCTACTCTTGAGAGATGACCGAGTATTACCTCTTCGTGCCATACGTTTTTTTATTGAGAATCTCAACCATGATGCAATTGTAGTTCGAAAGGTAGATATTTTATTTTAGTTACAGTCTTGGGTTTGAGAATTTTTACCTCACGTGAAGCCTTTAAATTCTTCGCAAACAAGACACACTTAATAAATATCTTGGAGTGCATTGATATGAAGCCTACTTCTTTTGGTTGAGATATGATAGCTTGGCTAATAAATACATGAGGACATGTTCGGACACTACCTTTCAGCACTGGGGATATAGCAGGGAGCAAGTTTATAGGTTAATGGGAAAGATTGACTTTGACGAGTTAATTATATGAAGTGTTACAGGAAGGGGAAGATGTCCGAGGATACAACTTTTTGGTTTTACTTGCAAAGAATTCGAGGTGGGGTACAAGGTGGGACTGACCTAGGCTGGTACATTGGAGAAAGATCCTTAAGAAGTGTTTTGGCTGAAATTTGAAGAATGAGCATGTATTGGTGTAATGAAGAAAAGATCAAAGTTTTCTAGGCAGAGACTAGCATGAAGGTTGAAGGTTCAAGAGTAAGAACTGTAAGAGACTCCTTCCAGGTCAGATTTAGCACTCATATGTGCCACCAGGTATCACTGGGTGAGGTATTTCTCTGCTCTTGAAAGAAATCTAGCCTCTGCTTTGATTAAGGCAGGCAACCATTTAAGAGATTTAAAAAGTTGACACATCCACCTTATTTGTTTCCTTTCCAGATGGCAATCTCAGCTGTTGCTGGTATTCTTAAGCAGCTAAAAAGAACCCATAAAAAGCTGACCATCAACCCCTATGAAATCAGTAAGTACTACCAAATGTAATTAATAGTGCTTCTCAGCAGACTTGGAAGCTTCTTTCAAAATATGTAGTTCTTGATTGCAAATATTTTTCTATACAAACTATAGAAGTATAAAAATATTTTAATACAAAGTTTAAAATATTATAAAGGAAAACAGTTAGTTGGCTTAGTAAAAACTAGTGATATACATGGTTGGTCTTGCCTGTGCCAGTGTAAGAGAGTCCTGTTATGAAGACAAAGGCATACCAATCCTATTGATTAAAAGTTGAGAATAATTATTGCACACATATTTTTAAGTTTATCAAATGTAATTTGTTTTTTCCTCAGGCGGATACCCTAAATCCACCCAAATCCTTGCTGGTGATAGGCCTGATAATCATTGGTTGCATTATGATAGCAAAAGTATACCAAAAACTAAAAAAGAATGGGAGTCAAGTTACTTTGTGGAAAAAACTCACTGGGGATACTACACCTGGCCACAGTAAGTACGACTTCCCATGCATCTTATTATTAAGCTGATTATCTCTGATATAATTTGTTTTATCTTTGAACTTCTGGGGATGTTCAGAAGCACTTGAAGCAGTTAGAAGGACTCAACCACTAAAAATACACACTCTTCAGGCTTTTCCCTCTTCCTCTTTTTCTTTGCTCCTGCCGATGCTATACCTTGATCCTGCCTGTTTTCTTGTTTTTCTACCAAAGCCCTTAGGCTTCCTTAGTTGTACCACTATACATGTAAGGTGTTTGTTAATAGCTGTTCTTAATCATGTTCCTACCTGTTAATACTAAACATGCCTAAACCAGCCCAGAGAAATGCTTGTTTATCTCTTATTGTTGACTAATTTGTGTCATAAGGACACAGTGATCTGACAGATTTTTTAAGGCCAGGACTGTTAGTGATGTATTCCTATCCCCAAACATGGCATCTAATTAGAGTTTATTAAAAGTACCTTCTAATGCATTCTATTCACGAAGCTCTGATATATTTTCTTACTTGTATTATAATTTAAACTCTTACTGTGTAGGAATATGGTTGTTTATGCTGGTGTGGAAGAACAGCCCAAGCTTGGCAGGAGCAGGGAGGATTTGACAGAGGTAAGGATTCCATTTTCACCATGAGTTAACACTTGCCCTGGTTCAAATGCAACTTACTTGTAGCCAGATACATTTCAAATTCAGTTCATTTTTCTCCCCAATCTGTGTGTTTCAGTATAGCGCTGGGTTAAATACCAGTAACTGTGTACTCCCTTACTCCACCCCACCCATCTCCCTTGTTCTCCCCTATTTTGTTAGACCAAGGTGTGGCTGGAGTCTTTTTGTATCTAAGGTTACTCTCAAGTTACTACCTCTCTTGGCACTCACTTGAGCACTACTGTGTATAGTTATTGGCTTGTTTTTTTGTACCATTTCTGTCTAATAAGCTTCTTGAAAGGAAGGATAATGACTGGCTTTTAGTTTTTTATTGTATGTAAATGATAGTTCTCCAGTACATAGATGTTTATAGATTTAAGTTAGAACTCCTTAGTCCTCATAAATCATTTGTCAGCTTGAAAGTTGACTTAAGGCCTTTTAAGTTTGTCTTCCTCAATTAAATTACTGGTGTAGTAGATGCATTTTCTAATTCTGAACAAAGTTTATATTTTAACTTCTGATGCTATATAAATATGGAAATAATTTGCTGGAGTTTGGTGTGCAGTTTGGGGATTTTTTGTAAATTGCACACAAGATGGTACAGGAGCATAAAGCCTTCATTTCCTAAGCAGAAGGTGTTTTGGTTTTAATTCACAGTTTGAGAAATAGAATCCATACTTGAAGATGAAGGAAACTTAGCTACTCTTATGGATTTTGCATTTTTAGGAAGCAATATATTTTAGATATTAGAAAGCCTCTATGAGAATTAAAAATTCTTTTTATATATATATATATTTTTTTTATTGATTTCAGAGAGGAAGGGAGAGAGACAGAAACATCAATGATGAGAGAGAATCATTGATTGTCTGCCTCCTGCACGCCTCCTAGTGGGGATTGAGCCTGCAACCCCGGCATGCGCCCTTAACCCGAATCAAACTTGGGACCTTTCAGTCTGCAGGCTGACGCTATATCCACTGAGCCCAACCAGCTAGGGCTGAAATTCTGTAGAACAAAAATAGTAGCTTACTGTTAGATATCAAAACTTTATAGATGAATTTTAATGTTTTCAGAATTGTTCTTAAATACATTTTAAACACTAAATGTTCTTTTTCTTTAACTTTACAGGCAGAACAGATCATATTTGATCATTTTTCTGATCCTAAGTTTGTTGAACAGTTAATTACTTTTCTATCTTTAGAAGACAGAAAAGGAAAAGATAAATTTAATCCTCGACGTTTTTGCCTCTTTAAGGTAACTGTTATTTATATGCCTTCTTCATAAAGCTTAGTGACTGTCAGTTTGTAGGTTTATACGTTTTAAAGTATTTGATCAAAGTTTGAGTTTAGTCATCTTATTTTCATTTAAAATGGTCCTGGAAGTTATGCCAATCATATTGATTTTGCCTTATTGTCCTAGCACTCTATTAAAAAAAGTTTTTTCCCTTTATCTTTGTAATTAGCAGTTGAAACAAACAAAAAACTCACAAAACTGGATTCATTTGATCATGTGATTTTTTTAAAGGATGTGTGTGCTATTTTTAAGGTCAGAAAGATTATTAATTTTTGTCCTATTTATTAACAATACCTCTAAGTTAAAGTGATAAGAATACTGTCATTTTACATGTCACAATTAAATATAAAGTTCTAGAAGGGAGAACTGGGTGTGTTTTTTTAAGCACAGTGGTAATATGGTACACAAATGGAGATGATAGTCATTTAAGTACCGAGGAACTTTCTTATCTTTGTTTTATAGGGTATATTCAGAAATTTTGATGATGCCTTTTTGCCAGTGCTGAAGCCCCATTTAGAACGTTTGGTTGCAGATTCACATGAAAGCACCCAGCGATGTGTTGCAGAAATTATAGCTGGTTTAATCAGAGGTTCTAAGCATTGGACATTTGAAAAGGTGATGTATTTGTACAGCACGTTCCCTATTAAAGCTACATTTTCCATTTATGTAGTAAGTCCCAACACATTAGGTTCATTTCCATTCATAGTTGATGCATTCAACAAATATTTGCTGAGTTCCTAATAGAGGTGAAGAACCACTTCTCCTATTATGGAGTAATTTGTATGAGTAAGTATGCAGTGAAGAGAACATGAATAAGTGCTTCCAAATTGCTTGAGTATCTTTATTTTTATTAATTTATTTATTTTGTAATAACATTTTTATTGATATCAGAGAGGAAGGGAGAGGGAGAGAGAGGTAGAAACATCAATGATGAGAGAGAATCATTGACCGGCTGCCTTCTGTATGCCCTCTACTGGGGATCGAGCCCACAACCTGGGCATGTGCCCTTGACCGGAATCGAACCCGGGACCCTTCAGTGCACAGGCCGACACTCTCTCCACTTAGCCAGACCAGCTAGGGATCTTTCTTTTTTTTAATACACTTATTTTTCTGCTTGGCTTTGTTAACATCATAAAAGAGATGAAACCTATTCTTTAAATTGTTTTTTCATCTGATGTAATAATGAAAGTCAAAGTATTCATATTTCCAAAAATAGCCATAAATGCACTCTTGAACTTCTTACTGGAACAGTGTTTGATACTAATAATGTTTAGGTTGTGTTTATGTAATGTTTAGAATGACATATTAATAAAGTAATCTGCTAAAACAAAAAAAAAATTGAAATGTTCAATTCCATATTGCTTTTGAGTATAAGTCACAACTCCCTGGTATATAGACAAATTCAATATCTTTTAAATTTTGAATTATTTGCCAACATTAGGGGGAAAATCAGGATATGTCATATAAAAATATTTGTTTCTCTTGAAAAATACAAAGGTCCTAGAATGCTGGTTCCACACTATTGCACTGTATCTGTTGCTGGTGCTACTCCTGGGCTTCTCCTTCATGGGGCACTCTCTAGTTCTCATTAAACCGCTGCTTCTCAACCCCTTGCCCCATCTACACAGCACATTTGGTCTTATAGGCACTTTGAGATTGACACCCTTCTTTTGAGTATCCTGCTTTTTAATTGTAAAATTTAGTTCATATATCAGCCCTAAGGTTAGTTTCTTAGCAAAATGCACTAGGCTGAAAATAACCAGGATTAAAATGTCTGCAATGCCTGAATATAACTTAGGCCACCATTTCCCCAAAGGAAACACACAAATCTTGTTTTGGGCCAACTTAATTACACATACTTTTGGAAGACCTATGAATGCTTTTTAATATGTTAATTTATTTATATGTATTAGTATCCCTGATTAAGTAAAACTTTGTTAATTTGTATTATTGACTTTTTCCTGTTCACATATCATGAAACAATTTTATTTGTTTTATTTATTTTTAAAATATGCTATTGATTTTAGAGAGGAAGGGAGAGGGGGAGAGAAACATTGATCTACTGCCTCTTGCACACCCCCTACTGGGGATCAAGCTGGGCATGTGACCTGACTGGGAATTGAATTGGCGACCTCTCAGTGCATGGAGTTGACACTCAGCCAACTGAGACACCCTGGCCAGGGCTCTTATTATTACTTTTAATCAATGCTTGGTGCTACCACTGGAAACATTATCCCAAGCCCTCCCTCCCCATTTGTCCTTTTGACTCAAGTGCAGTCCATGGACATCACTAGGTAGCTTGTTAGGAAAGGAGGATCTCAGGTCCCACCCTGATCTAGTGAGTCAGTCTGCATTTGATCAAGATCCCAAGGTGATTTGTATTCTCATTAAACTGTGATAAGCATCTATACATATATTTGCAGTCTCTGTATAACTGAACATTTCTTAAAGGCTATTGATAGTAACTCAAAACTTGCTGTTTGAAGATTATACTTCAGGCTAATAAGAAATTGTCTTAAAATGTCATACCTTCCGCCGAAACCGGTTTGGCTCAGTGGATAGAGCATCGGCCTGCGGACTGAAGGGTCCCAGGTTCGATTCCGGTCGGGGGCATGTACCTGGGTTGCGGGCATATCCCCGGTGGGAGATATGCAGGAGGCGGCTGATCGATGTTTCTCTCTCATCGATGTTTCTAACTCTCTATCTCTCTCCCTTCCTCTCTGTAAAAAATCAATAAAATATATTTAAAAAAAAAAATGTCATACCTTCCTAAATTAGGATTCAATTATATGATCTCAATAAGCATGAATTTTTTAAAGAGATTATAGTCCTTAGTCACAGAATTTTTAAAAAAATTATTACTGATTTTATAGAGAGATAAGAAGGGAGAGAAAGGGATAGAAACATCTATAAGATACATCATCAATTGGCTGGGGATCGAGCCCACAACCTGGGTATGTGCTCTGACTAAGAATTGAACTGGCGACCTCTTGGTTCATGGGTCCACATTCATCCACTGAGCCACACCGGCTGGGTAAGCACACAAAATTTTGAAATGATGGAGGTTTTATCCAGCCCAGTATGCTATATTATTCAAAAATTTAAAGAGAGAACTTCTCTTTAAGAGAAATTATATGATTTTGTAAGGGATCATATAAGGGGTCTCCTCTTTTCTGAATAATTTTTTGGAAAAACAATCACATTATAACTGGGTGTGTGTGATGATAATATAGTAAAGTTACTTTGCTGGATTATTTAGGTGTTCTAAGAAGTAATTTTTTTTAAAAGAAATAATTTAAATGCAATATCAGTTTGTGTGTTTATATGTTTTCTGGAAAAGAGCCGAAGACACATGTTCTGAGTATTTTCCCATGCATTTTGTTTTGAGTAGGTGGAGAAGCTTTGGGAACTTCTGTGTCCTCTGCTTAGAACAGCGCTGTCCAACATCACAGTAGAAACTTACAACGACTGGGGAACCTGTATAGCAACGTCCTGCGTACGTTCTCCTGCTTACTTCTGCGTCTAACTGATCTATTCACACTCTTATACCTTGTCTCAAAATCTGTGAATTCTCATTATACCTCCTGAACTTGAAATTTTGCTCATAGTTGTGTCATTTTAAAATTATTGGAAATGGTTCTGTTTAATCTTTCAAATAAGCCTTGAGTGATAACCTTAAAAGATTATTATATACTCTTGGCCACAGTAATACATTGTTTTAGAACAGATGACAAGTCAGATAACTTAAATGTGTAAGAGCCAGATGATGCAAGTTTATCGGTGTTGTTTTTAACACTAAATATGTCCATAACTTGTATACTCTGATTTGAAGAAAATGCATTTAGCTAAAAATTTTCTCACTGTTTATCTTTTTAACATGAGCTATGATAACATATTTGGATTTGACTCACTTGTGACTTTTAATCTGATTTTCTTCCTCTATCCTTATATTTATAAATAAGATATATATTTATATTGATAAAATAAAAGCATCTGACTCATTCACAGCATTGTAGGACTTCTGTTTTAATCATTACTTTGTATTTCAACACAGGAAAGCAGAGATCCCCGGAAACTTCATTGGCTTTTTGAGCTGCTGTTGGAATCACCATTGAGTGGTGAAGGTGGCTCCTTTGTAGATGCATGGTAAATAAAAACAAAAACAAAAACAAAAAAAACAACTTACACAGTTCATAAAAGATGGCATGTTTGTGCTTGATGTATGAATGGAAGCGAACTGCCTACACCAGTGGTCAGCAAACTGCTGTTCATGAGCCACATGCGGCTCTTTGGCCCCTTGAGTGTGGCTCTTCCTAAGCCTTAGGATTACCCTAATTAAGTTAATAACAATGTACATACTTATATAGTTTAAGTTTAAAAAATTTGGCTCTCAAATTTCAATCGTACTGTTGATATTTGGCTCTGTTGACTAATGAGTTTGCCAACCACTGGCCTACACTCATTAAGGCTAGATAATGTAACTGGAGTTAACCCTTGATCAACATTGGTTCAGACTGTGCTGGTCCACTTTTATGCAGACTTCTCTCCCCCCCCCCCCAATAAATACACAGTTAGTCCTCTATATCCCCAGCTTTCACATCCAAGGGTTCAACCAACCTTGGATGGAAAATACTGTTAGGAATTCTCGGATGGAGAGGGTCGGCTTTTTTTATTGCCGGCTGTATGCATTATTCTATGCTATTTTATATAGGGGACTTGAATGTCTGAAGGTTTTGGCATCCACAAGAGGGTACTGCAACCAATCCCCCTAAAGATACTGAGGGACAACTAAAATTTGGGGGAAGTCTGAAGTTATATGGGGATTTTTGACTGCTCAGGAGTTGGCACCCCTACTCCCCTTGTTGTTTAAGGGTCAGCTATAAATCTTCTATGAGATACGTGATCCATTCCATACAACATGATACTAAGTACAGTTGTTTCTCAGTAAGGACAAGTAAGAGAAATGGAAGCAACCTGAACAATTCAGATATAAGTTAGATTCAGCCTTCGCCACTGTCAAGTCTTATATCAGAACTGCCTTTTGTGCCGTGACAGTAGTAGCTTCTTTCTCATAGCTTCTCATTGTTCACTCTCTCCTCTGAGGAAAGAAGAGAGTAATCGTATAAGGGAAAATATTCTTGGTGGTGTATAAGGAGCTGAGTACAAACTAGTGGATAAGAAAGAGAAATAGAGATAATCCTGTTAACAAGAAAAAGAATTGATTATTTTTCTTAATTAGTGGGGAAAATTCTGATGCTTAGAGATTAACTCAAATAGTATTCTGAAATCATTATTTCTTTTGATTGTAGTAGTGGAGATGATAAGAGAATACAGAAAAAATGATGCAGGAGATACAATAAAATCTTCATAAAGATGCTGTTTTGAATTTGGAGAAATGCCTACTCAAGTCTTTGCCCATTTTTGAATTAGGTTTTGTGGTTGTTGCTGAGAAAGTGAAACAATTTTCAGTGAAACACAGGCGTCATTAATCTATACCATCAGTATGTAAAGACTCTAACACAACTCTCCTGTGTTTTCATTTTAGTCGGCTCTATGTACTGCAAGGTGGCCTTGCCCAGCAAGAGTGGAGAGTGCCTGAGCTATTGCACAGACTGTTGAAGTACTTGGAACCCAAACTCACCCAGGTTTACAAAAATGTCAGGGAAAGAATAGGGAGGTAGGTATTATTTTCTCTGTGGTATGGTGTACTTCTTGAGCTCTTTTTATTCAATTTTAGTATCTAGGAATGCATACTGGTTATGTTACTATTGAGTTTCATAGTATGCTCTTCTTCAGATTTTGTTTTATATGGTGGTGTACACACTAGACAGGAGGCTCTGAATGTAAAATAGGGTGGCAGTGGGCTCACCAAGCCAGAGATGAACAGTCAGCATGCCCCGTGTTTATTACCTCAGAGTTGCAGGCACAGCACAAGAGACCTTCTCTAGGAATTGTCTTGGTTGGGTTATAGCTTTTGAGCCCTAGTTTTATTGAGAATGTGGGATCTCTTCTTACGGTGCCTATTTCATTTTATAGTGTGCTGACCTACATATTCATGATAGATGTTTCTTTGCCAAACACCGCGCCAACAGCATCCCCTCGTGTTCCTGAGTTTACTGCTCGAATTTTAGAGAAATTGAAACCCCTCATGGATGTAGATGAAGAAATTCAGAACCATGTCATGGAAGAAAATGGAATTGGTGAAGAAGATGAACGAACTCAGGGCATTAAACTCTTAAAAACTAGTGAGTGGCTAAAATTAGTAGATACTCACTTAAAAACAGACATTTATATTTTCCTAGGACTTTTTTCACTCTTTTTATTGTGATAAAACGTACATAACATAAAAGGTACAATGGCATCAAATACATTCACATTGTTGTGCAACCATCACCATCATCTATCTATCTTGAGTACTCTTTTCATCTTGTAAAATTGAAATTGTACCCATTGAGCAGTAACTCCTCATTCTCCCCTTGCCAAGCCCCTGGCACCCACCATTCTACTTTCTGTAAGGTTGGCTAGTCTAGGTACCTCATATAAGTAGAATCATACATGTTTGCTTTTTTTATTTTGCACAGTGTTTTTAATGTTTATTCATCTGTTGAAAGACATTAGGTTATTTATATCTTGCGCTATCGTGAATAATACTGCTATGAGTATGGGTGTGGAAGTATCTGAATCTTTGCTTTCAGTTCTTGTGCGTATTGAAAATGAATTGCTGGGCCATATGGTAATTCTGTGTTTAACTCTGGGGAGGCACCAAGCTATTTTTCATGGTGGCTGCACCATTTTACATAACAGCAGTGCAGAAAGGTTCCATTTCTTTCACATCCAGAAAACACTTGTTTTCTGTGTTTATGACTGTAGCTGTCCTAACTGGTGTAAAGAAGATATCTCATGGTTTTGATTTGCATTTCCCTATTGAGTAGTTGTTGAACATCTTTTCATTTGCTTCGTTGTCATTTTTGTATCTTCTTTGGGAAAATGCCTATTCAAGTCTTTTTCCCGTTTTTTAATTAGTTTTTGTTGTTGTTGAGTTGTAGTTCTTTAAATGTTCTGGATATCAATCAAATAAATCATTGCCCTATCCAATGTCATGAAGTTTTCCCTTAGATTTTCTTTGAAGAGTTTTATAGTTTTATCCCTTACATTTAAAGTATAAGATATGAGCTTCATTCTTTTTGCTCATGGATATGCATTTTGTCAGAACCATTTGTTGAAAAGACTGTTATTCCTCCGTTGAATAGTCTTGGTACTCTTGAAAATGAATTGGCCAAATGTGTGAAGGTTTCTTTCTAGGCTCTCTAGTCTATTTCATTGGTTTATATGTCAGTCCTGATGTCAGCACCATACTGTTCGGATTACTGTAGCTTTGTAGTAGGTTTTGAAATCCAGAAGTGCGAGTCCTCCAACTTAGTTCTTTGAAAAAATATATATATTTTTATTGATTTCAGACAGGAAGGGAGAAGGAGCAAAAAATAGAAACATCAATGATGCAAGTCATCGATCTGCTGCCTCCTCCATGCCTCCCCACCCCCCACTGTTGATCAATCCTGCAACCCGGGAATGTGCCCTGACTGGGAATTGAACTGTGACCTCCTTATTGATAGGTTGACACAACCACTGAGCCAACCTCGCTGGGTCTGGCGCCCCCCCCCCCCCCCCACCACCACCACCAATTATCTTTGTTATTGGTGGTGTCCTATTGTCCTGATACCTTAAAATTTTTCAAGGATTCTGAATATAAACAACTAACTTAGTTGTTGTTTTTGCTACATTGGGATTATTATTTTTTGTTTGTTAATCCTCACCTGAGGATATTTTTTCTATTGATTCTTAGAGAGAGTGGAAGGGAGGGGGAGAGGCATAGAGAGAGAAACATCGATGTGAAAGAGACACATCGATTGGTTGCCTCCAGCACGCACCCCAACTGGCACTGGGGATCGAGCCTGCAACCGAGGGACATGCCCTTGACCAGAACTGAATCCATGACCCTTCAGTCCGAGGGCTGACACTCTAATCCAGGGGTGGGCAAACTTTTTGACTCGAGGGCCACAATGGGTTCTTAAACTGGACCGGAGGGCCGGAACAAAAGCATGGATGGAGTGTTTGTGTGAACTAATATAAATTCAAAGTAAACATCATTACATAAAAGGGTACGGTTTGTTTTTTTTGGTTTTTGTTTTATTCATTTCAAACGGGCCGGATCTGGCCCGCGGGCCGTAGTTTGCCCACGGCTGCTCTAATCACTGAGCAAAACCAGCTAGGGCTACATTGGAATTATTGAAGGCTAGTTTTAATTTGTATTTAGCATAGTTATTTGGTAGACTTGTTAATAATTTGCTGACTCATTCTTTGAGAGTGGCTTTAGTACTCCATAGATTAGTTGACCCCCCTTTATTGTGTTGTGAGTCCTGTCATACTGCTGGCCAGTGTCTAATTTAAGAAGTAATATAAACAATCTGTTTAGTAACATTGAAGCACTGTCAAAGTGGCTGGCACTAGCACCACAATACTATTCTACTTAGCGGTCTCTAATTGGGTAGCGAAGACTGATTCTGCGTATCCATTTCCAAATAGTATTGAAATGGCTGATGGCGAGTGCAGGAAGATCCTTCTCTACAGCAGTCACAGAACAACTTCAGCTTTTACCTTTGTTTTTTAAGGTAAGTTAATGGCTAAAATTAGGAATGCATCCCCTTTTGACGTTCAAAGGGAATTTATACTTACCATCTGACGGTTGATAGTTTTCAGACTGTGTATGATTTGGTTGTATCTTCAAAAATAGAATAGTCACAGGAAAATCATTAATTGATAGTGGTTTTATATTTGTTGAAATAATCTTTTAAATATTAGATAAGATGAAACATTGTTTCACTAATAGTCAGTTTCTAAGTAATAGTTTAGGAAAATACAGATAGCTAAAAAGAAAAGCCACAATGAAATTTTTGAATATAGCTCTTTCTGACTTTTTAATACTTAATATATAATGAATCTGAAGATCAAAATGTTCAGTGTATTGCATTTATTTTACAGTGATAAATGACATTATAATTGGTTGTAACAAATATCTACAGGAAGTAACTTATATCTGGTATTTGTATGGTGATTTTGAAATTTTATTTGATGAAGGTATGACCTGAGATGGTTTTAATTACTCATCTGGTCAGAGGATGAAGGCACTAAAACTTAAGATCGAAAAGAGGGCTCAGAAGAGCCTGTCTGAAGTTTGGGTAAGAACAGTGAAGGCTTGGTGAAGATTCCATTTGTTAGGGACACGCAAAGAAATTTCATAATGCTAAGCTTTGAATCTCTCACATAAGTTGGTATAATCATTAGTGTGTTAGAGAAAAGTAATTTATTTTTAGAAATTAAAACTACTTTAAAAAGAAACAAGAAAATACATTTAGAATATTTCAGAGGATACTTATTTAAGGGTTGGGGAAGACAAAGAAAAGAAGGTATTGAGTGAATGTACCTCGTTTTATTAATTTGTCTTTAGGACCCTATAAGCACGCTTAAAATTAAAAGGAAGGAAAGTACCTTAAAAAAAAAGACAAAATGAAATAAATGTACCTTCCTCACTGTGTATCTGGTTGGTATGTTAAAAATACAGAGCAGTGGCTTTTAAGAACACAGAAATTCATACATGTCTTGTGGGTAATATCCTTATTAATAATATTGGAGTGAAACCATTATGTGTAAGTTATAATAAAGAGCAAATGCAGTAATAATTGTCTGTAGGAACCAAGATTTTTAGCATGAGAGACAAGGGATATATAAAAATCCAAGCTGTTTAGTAAAATCCCTGTTATCCTAAATTTGGAACTGTCATTTTGATCTCATGATCCATTTCTATTTAGAAAATATGCTTATATCCTAGCAATGTCCACCGAAAAGGCCCAGAACCACTAATCAACCTAATAGCAGTCAATATCCTGGTGTCCAGATCATACTTTCTAAGTGTCATTTCCCACTAAAAGAACCAGAGTTGCTTGGAGAAATGGCTGATATCAGGTTTAGACCAAGAAATGTACAGGATAAACCCAGGTCACCTTGTCATACCAGAAACCTAGGATGCTACAGTTGTGTTAAAGGATGCAGGAGCCAGTTTGAGCACCAGTAAGAAGGGCAATTACAGTGGATCAAAGCCATTAAATTTGTTGAGATTCAATGGTTCATAATGATACTTAAAAAAAAAAAATCGTTCCCTTTTAGAGGACAAGAGGGAAATCACTCTGAGGGAAAGTTGGTTGCCTGTGTACTGATTGGCTGTTACTTTCCAATTCTTGTCTTTGGTTTGTTTTATTCTCTAGATTGCCCCAGTGGAAAACGACAATAGCTACGATGAACTGAAAAGAGATGCAAAGTTATGTTTATCACTAATGTCTCAGGGGTTGCTTTACCCTCATCAAGTGCCTTTGGTACTTCAGGTGCTAAAACAAGTAAGAGTGAATACCAAATATATATCTTTTTGTTGGGATTTTGGCTTGTTCTAAGAATTTCACTAAGTCAGCTGCAGTGCACACAGTACCTGATACTTGTTTTCATTTTAATTTTTCTTTTAATATCAGTGAGTGCATGTACTGACCCAAGAACCAGACCTAGATTTTGTACCAGGCTCTGTCATCAGCTTCTATGATCTTAGGCAGATCACTCAACCCCCAAATATTCAATAACTAACTCTATTGAAGCATCTTGAATACAAAGTGCTTAATGAGGGAAGGGATGGTCATTTCCTTTTACCATTTCCCCTTTATGTTATTCACTTATATTTCCTAGCCTATGGTAGAAAAACCTAAGTGATTATGTATTTTCTGGTAGCATTTTTTAGTATACCTTGTGCTCAGCTTTATCCAAGGCAGCATGTGCTATATAATATAAAAATGGGCATGTCCCCATGGTTTTCAGATTTTTAAGTTTAAATAACACCAAAAAATATTTTTAACAGCACAATATTTTGGTATTCTTTTTGTAGTGGAATTTAGTAGTTCTCAATCTTTTTTGCTTCAATACCCTGCTACTATCAAAATTAAAATAAAGTAATATGCAACCTTTTGAGGAGTTGGTCATGAATTATAAATAATTAATTCTCCTAAAATGGACTTTTATCTGTGTACTAGAGGCCCGGTGCACGAAATTCATGCCCGGGGGTGGGGGTTGTCCCTCAGCCCAGCCTGCACCCTCTCCAATCTGGGACCCCTCAAGGGATGTCTGACTGCCCTTTTAGGCTGGATGCCCCTAATTTCCCTCCCCTGCAGGCTTGGTCCCCCCAACTGCCCTTCCCTGCAGGCCTGGACACCCCCAACTGCCTTCCTCTGTCGGCCCAGTCACCCCCACCTGTCCTCTCCTGCAGGCCTGATCACCTCTAACTGCCCTCCTCTGCAGGCCTGGGTCCCCCCCAACTGCCCTCTCCTACTGGCCATCTTTTGTCCACATGCTGGAGTGATGATCAATTTGCATATTACCTCTTTATTATATAGGATTCCTCCCCTTTACTCTCCACTACTCATACATTCTGAATACCTTTACTGAAATAGCTTATACAACCTTTGATTTAGAAAGAACTATAAGATGAGGTTGCTCTAACTATCCACATAAAATAGGTAGAATTATATTAGAAGATTTTATTTGTGTGTCATTTCTATGTCTGTCACCTCATGTTCTTGTCAGCACTATTTTCATTGTTTATAATTCTCATTCACAGACAGCAAGAAGCAGTTCTTGGCATGCTAGATACACAGTGCTGACCTACCTCCAGACCATGGTATTTTACAACCTCTTTATTTTCCTAAACAATGAAGATGCAGTTAAAGGTATCAGGTGGCTGGTCATAAGTCTTCTGGAGGATGAACAGCTGGAGGTAAAATTTAAGTTAAAGCAAGTAGAAATTTAAGAAATTCAAAGAAAGCATCCTGGCTCCCCTTTAAGTAGTATTTACACATTGATAAGATGTGTTCTGTTGAAGTATAAATCACTAAAAGTAACGTTAATTTTAGTGTAGCCCTCCTGAATTAGTTTGATATCCTATTCATGATTTCCTGTAATACTAATGGAAACAAACATTAGGCAGTTCTTATCCTGGTTTCCGTTTGCAGTTGGGCAGGTAACATTTGTGAACCAAAGTGTTCTTATCTATGAAATTGCTGGTGATAATACTCTATCTGTGTATCTTACTGATTTTTAAATGACTAATAGGAATGTATGTGAAGGTAGTTTCAAGAAGGTAACAAGTTCCACATAAATGTACTATCCCGTAAACTTAGGAAAGGGTTGTTGTTCCCTTTCATTTTCTCTGGTAGAGGAATCAAAGGCAACTTTTGTGGTGCACTATTAATATTTTGTACAATAAGATACATTAATTTGTTGAAATAGTCTAATATAAGAAAAGCATGTTGTGATAAATGTGGAGTAAGATATAAGTTTCTAAATTGGCTTTAGGTAAAGAAATGTAATTGACATTTTTACTTTATTTTATGACTTAATGGGTTTTCCATGTAGTGAGCACTCCCATTAATGATATATTATATTTGAGAACACTAAAAATAGATTGCAGCTGTAGGAAACTGGGAGTGGAAATGTTTCCATTTCCCTGATGAGCCTGTTCATTTCCCAGTCCAGCTTCCTGTGTTCTTTGAGCAGAATTGTCTAGTCCCCAGGGTACTCCCACCGTGGTGATAACAACTCCGACAGGCTTCAGTGAAAGTATTTACAGCTACCTATAAAATTTTACAAACTTTCCCTTATATTGTTTTTAACTAAAGAATGGAAATGGCAAGGTGGGAACTCTAAAGTCAGTGTTTACTAACTTTAAAGATTATAGCAATTGCATTAAAATTAACCGTTTTCTGGACCTTGTTTTAGAACATTCTTTATATTTTGTATTTCCCTCCATGTAGTAGGCTTAAACGTAACTGTTACCATAAATATAACAATGACTTTTATTAAAACTATCAATTTTAAAAGTGATGTTGACTAATAATTAAGTACATCTCTTATGATAATGTTGAAAACAATTTTGTAGTAATCTAAATGAGAAATGTTTAAAGAAAGCTTTGTAACATATAAGGAGACTTATCAATAGGAAAATAATTTATAGAGAAATTTAATTTTGTATAAAATAGTTAAGCATTTACCTGAATGTAGTGGCTTTTTCCAATTTTGAGGCTACAAATCTTTTGACAATCTGATAAAATCTCTATTAAGAAGCTGCAGCCGAAACCGGTTTGGCTCAGTGGATAGAGCGTCGGCCTGCGGACTGAAAGGTCCCAGGTTCGATTCCGGTCAAGGGCATGTACCTGGGTTGCGGGCATATCCCCAGTAGGAGATATGCAGGAGGCAGCTGATCGATGTTTCTCTCTCATCAATGTTTCTAACTCTATCTCTCTCCCTTCCTCTCTGTAAAAAATCAATAAAATATATTTTTTTAAAAAATTAAAAAAAAAAAAAAGAAGAAGAAGCTGCTGCTAAAGAGCATCTACACAATTTGCATACAAATGCCAGGGAAAGTCCCCACCCCGGTTCCCATACCACCCTCCAGCCTCTGATATTCCAGCTGGTTTGGGATCTTCGCTCTAATGCAAGTGATTTTCTCTGCAGGTTCGAGAAATGGCTGCAACCACCTTAAGTGGTCTGTTACAGTGTAACTTCCTTACCATAGACAGTCCTATGCAGATTCATTTTGAACAACTTTGCAAAACAAAACTACCGAAGAAAAGAAAGCGAGACCCTGGTTTCGTAGGAGATACGATTCCTTCTGCAGGTAACAATACTGGTAGGAAACACAAAGATTCTTTGGAGAATTAACCAGGCTTACTCAACAAACATTTACTGAATACGTGTCTGTGTCCTGGGTCTGTGCTGGGGACTGGGAATAGTTGTCTCTGCTCTTGAGGAGCTTTGAATGTAAAAGCTGAGCCAAATCGCTATGGCTCTCTTTTTCTTAACTTCAAAACTCCTACCCACCATGTGCATGTATACCATGTAATATACTTACACACACATAATACACACACACATCTTTATTAAAATACTAGAGGCCCAATGCACGAAATTTGTGCAAGAGTAGGTCTTCATTCCCCTAGCTGCTGGCACTGGCTTCCCTCTGGCACCCAGGACCCAGGCTTCCCTCGCAGCCCTGGCTTTGTCCGGAAGGACTTCAGGCCTAATTAGCATATTACGCTTTTATTATTATAGAAAATGGAAAGCACTTTAACTTCTATTGCTAAAGAAAGAATATAGAGTCTGTAGTAAACAGACACATTGCAGTTCTTTTTGTTTTGTTTTTTAAAGAACAGTTTATTGCCCTGGCTGGTGAGGCTCAGCAGTTAGAGTGTCAGCCCACACCCAAAGGTCAGGGGTTTGATTCCCCATCAAGGACATGTACTTGAGTTTCAGGTTCCATCCCCACCCCAGTTGGTGTGCATGCAGGAGGCAACCAATTGATGTGTCTCTCACATCAATGTTTCTCTCTGTCTTCCCCACCTCCCTCCCTCCCAATCTGTAAAAAATCAATGGAAAAAATATCCTCCGGTGAGGATTAATAACAACAAAAAGAATAGTTTATTGATTTTTAGAGAGAGAGAGAGAAACATTGATGTGAGAGCACAACATTGATCAGCTGCCTCCTGCATGCCCCCTACCAGAAATTGAGCCCACAACCTGGGTTTATGCCCTGACTGGAATCCAGCCAGCAACCTCTCAGGCATGGGACAGTGCCCAACCAACTGAGCCACACCAGCCAGGGCTTGCAGTTCTCTGTTGAGGGTGTTTACCTATGAATCGATGCATTCTGAAAAGTGCGGTCTAATTTTGATTGCAGTTTGTTTTAGCATCAGGGAATTACACTTTTGTATATGGTATAAATTGATTTTTAAAAAGCAATTATTTTGTTAGTTTTAGCAAATACAAGACACATTTGGATGTCTTTAGTTCGGCCTCAAACTCATGTTTTTCATGTGTGTGAATAAAGATTCATTTTAAACACACATTTACACATTGAAAATAACTAGCATAATCTAAAACTAATTTTATTTCACTGTAAAGAGGGCAATAGAGTCCTATCAGTATTTGCACTTTATTGCTGTTGTCTTTGCAGAGTTGGTCAAACGCCATGCTGGGGTGCTAGGACTTGGTGCATGTGTTCTTTCTAGTCCTTACGACGTTCCCACCTGGATGCCCCAGCTCCTTATGAATCTGAGTGCACATCTGAATGACCCTCAGCCTATTGAGGTAAAAGCTTTGTTGGTTTCTTTGCACACACATTATCAAGAGATGCTTTGTAAAACACCATTTATACTGATAATTCCCTACACATTCTGCACCTTAGGCTTTCAAACAGCCACTACTACTGCTACAGGGTCAAGCCTGTTTGTCAGTAATCATTAAAATCTTGCAGAGACCTTGATTCCATGTGAATATTTTATCCTTTGGTAGCAAGGGAATTACTGTAACTTCTGTCCTTCCCAGTCCAATGAAAGTAGTGTCAGTGTTGTCAGTATAAATGTTATACTTCTATTTTACTAGCATGTTCTATGTAGGAACTGTCTAATTAGGAGCTAATGTTAAATAGAAAGCCTGATGGTATTATTTAGTGAGTACCTATGGTCCTAAATTAAACAACTCAGAAAATGAATGACTTTGTCCTTTTCAACTTAGTAAATAGATGTTACATGTATATTGAAACTGGTTTACTGATGTGGTGCAAGTTCCAATAGCTTGTCCAAGTAATTCTAAAGCGAGCTTGGTGTCTTTTAGCTCATTGGTTCTGTAGCATTCGGTGGGCAGTGAGATCTGAAGTCTAGAGAGTTTGTTACTTAGCTGAAGTAATCCTAAATATAATGCTGGTGGATCAGAGAGGTTAGAATAATATGTATGTGGGTTGCCCACTCGACAGATGACTGTAAAGAAGACTTTATCCAATTTCCGAAGGACGCACCATGACAACTGGCAGGAACACAAACAGCAGTTCACCGACGACCAGCTGCTTGTTCTCACCGATCTCCTGGTGTCACCGTGCTACTATGCATAGGAGGGTAAGTCAGCAGGGCTCTGGGTGAAAAAAGTCCGACGTCCTCGGGGAAATGTCATTGGTTCGCTGACTGAGAACTAGGTGCTCCTAAGTTTTTTCTTTTTTGCTGATATTCTTAGATGTCATTGTTTAGATAAAGTTTTTTAAAAATGTCATTTAAGTAAGTTCCCAGAGAATTTTTCCTTGCTTTTGTGCTTCAGTTATTAAGCAGACAATTTATGTGACTGCTTTTAGATCTTTATAAGTGAGTAGGCTTAGTAGTCTGGAAATGGTAGACAAAAAATAATCTATTTTTTTAAATATATATTTTTATTGATTTCAAAGAGGGAGAGGAGAGAGAGAGAGAAACATCAATGATGAGAGAGAATCATTGATCGGCTGCCTCCTGCATGCCCCACTCTGGGGATCAAGCCTGCAACCAGGCACGTGCCCCAACTGGGAATCAAACTGTGACCTCCTGGTTCATAAGTCGAGGCTCAACCACTGAGCCACACCAGCTGGGCCAAAAAAGAACAAACCTGTTCTTTGTAGCCTCTTAGTGGGGCCTGGGCATTTTGGGTTGCCCTGAGGGCTCTAGGTTCTATATTGTAGTGAGAACGTTTCATCAGGATTCTTAAATATTTATTATCTATTCTTATTAAAGAGGGAGGACCCAGAAGCCTTTCTACTGGGATAGGAAGAATAAAGAAAAATTCACTTATTGAGCTTGACTGAAATTTTTTTCCTCTCTGATACAGGTGAGTAGTCCTCACTTCAAGCTCTTTTCATCAAAAATTCCAGATCCTCAGGTACCATCTGTGGTGGCTCGCTGCTGGTTTTAACTCTCTGCCTTTGTCGAGCTCTCATCATTTTGGTGGTCTCTGTTTAGTCTCATTAGTCTGTGTTCCACAGGTTCTCAGCTGCCATTTGATTTCCTAACTTGTCCGGAACTGTTTCCAGAATATTGATCACTTTTTCTTTGAGGCATCTGACAAAACCACAATGTCTCAGACTAGAAACAATTACCCAATATGATCATGGCATCCAAGACCAGACTGAGTCTAGGAACTCATTAAGAAACAGTTTACTTGGAATGGAGAATACCCATCTGTAAAACAGGTCCTCTCATTTCATTCATCTCAAATTATTTTGAATTCTTTCCAAATGGCTGTTGGGTTTAGATGGGAGTAGGGCTGTGGGCCATAAATCTGAAGCTTGGAGAGCCAGGAAGATGGAAGGAAGAGAGGATAGGTCTGGAACCAGCCAAGGACCTGATGGATTCTTGACAAGACACAAAAGTGAAGCCGGTGTCCACCACGCGCCTCCCACAGACTGGAGTTTCTGGTGCTGAAGAGAAGACTAACTGTGGGAAAACTGGGGGTTTGGTGAATACATTTTTGATGGATTGTTGTGTGTGTATACAATGTATGATTTTGAAAATAAACATCAACAACAATAAACACCCTGACTGGTTGATTTACCTGTATTCTTTACAAATATTGTTTGACCCACTTTTAAAACTGTTATATTTCACCTAATAGAAGATTGCTGTGTTTGCAAAAATTCTGTAATTTCTTTCTGATTTTTTTTTTGCCTGCAGAATCGTTGAGAGACTAAGAAGTCTTGATATTTAATTGCCTTGTTTAATAAATGTTATATAGATGTAAAGGACTGTATAAATTGTAGGGATAGCTTTGGCAAGACTTTGTACAGATGCAACCATTTACACAACACCATTGTGTAATTAATTTGTAAAATTCACATGTAGCTCTTTATTATAGTGATTTTGGCTTTTGTATCAAATTGAATGCCATTTTTTGCATTTTTAAATTATTTTCATGTTACAAAAGCTGAGGTGTGGGGTTTTGTTTGAGTTCATTAATGTTAGAATGTCTGAATTTTTATGTAACTTTTTTGTGTGCATCTCAATGCAAACGCCACGTTTGCCTTTGACAAGTTTATAGAATGCAAGGTATCTTCTAGACAAAAAAAAAAGTAATTCACAAGTTTGTGAATGTCATCTTGCAACACACTCTGTACAGTCTTCCTTAAAGGAACACTACGGTATATTTTTTAGAATCTACTTGATGAATGACTCAATGCAGACCTAAGCACAGCAGAGGTCCTGGTACAGATCAGCACACACAGGCATAGCCCCTGTATAGAGTAGTGCCAAACTGACTATTTCATTGTGTACCTAGTTTAAAACCCAATAAATGAATTGTTTTTAACACCTGGCTTTTGTCTTCATTAAGTGGACAGAACAGTTCTGTAGGCAGTGACTCTATATGATTCCTTTGGATCCATTGATCTCAATCCATAAGTTCATGCCCCCTGACCAAAATGAGTTATCTAGGTTGGACCTGTCCACTAGAGTAGCTAATAGCTACATGTGGCTATTTACTTATAAATTAAATTAAAAATTCATTTCCTCAGTCTCACTAGACCCATTTCAAGTGCTTATTAGCCGCTTGTGGCTAGTGGTTTGCCCTATTGAATAGCACAGATCAATGTTTTCATCAGAAAGTCCTATTGGGCAGCTGATCTAGATGATTAATATGTCTAAGAACCCCAGGGATTTTGTTAAAATATGAATTCTAATTCAGGCTCTCAGCTCATGATATTGATGCTTTGTCCTGAGACCACACCTTGAGCAGTGAGGCGTCCTATTAACCACTTCGACTTTTTCTAAGCTATACGAAACTATATCTTAGCAACGTTTCTGAAGTGGAACTTAAAAAAAAAAATACGATACTGAATCCACTGTGTTCCTCTATCAGAGTTTTTCTGGTTAGGACTCACCCGCAAGATCTTCTTAAAGCTCCATAATGCTTCATTTGTGCAGCCAGGATTGAGAACCACTGGTGAAGTGTTAAGGTAGGTTTCCAGAAAGGAGAGGGTGGAGAGGTGAGGAGAAAGCCAGCATCTTTGAGGTAAGAGGTAATAATCTTTAATTTCTGAATTGGATCTTTTAAATATAGACTTTGAAAAGTGTGTTTCAAAATTTAGGAGGAAAATTTACCCCCCTGTTCTCTTAATGTGAATAAATTTTGGTGACAAAAAATAGTTTGTGAAAGCTGATTTCAAATATTTGAAAAGGCATTGCCAAACCCTAAAGTTGCAGGCCTTTTTTGGCATTTAGTGTGTCTAGAAGGAACCAGTAAGAAATTTTGTTTGACTGAAAAAATTTATTTTTCCTACATGATCTTATCTTGCTAATATAATTGTGAGTATTCCCCTGTTGTTGAACATCAAGGTTTTCCCTTTTCCCTATTAAAATTACACTGCAATGAACATTTTGTTATCGTCATACTTCTTTTTCCTCAAGTATTTCCTTAGGAAAAATTCCAAGAAGTGAGATTTTTTTGGTCAAGAATCAAACATTAAGTGGCTCTGATAATGTTTTCCTGAATTTGCATTGACAGTGACAGTGTGTTAGAATGCTGGTTTCCCTAAAAATCGATAGCCATTCATATTTTAACATAACAGCCCTGCTTGTATATATTTTTTGTTTTTGCAGATTTTTTTTTCTTTTTTTTTTACTATTAAGGCTGTGTTCTTACACTTGGCTGGCACATTTGATAAACAGAATTACAGTAGCTTTGCTGATGGTACGTTCTGGAACTTTGGGAGTTTCTGATTTCCTCTTCTAGATCTCTGGAATCCTTTACAACCTGTAAATTTATTTTTTCCCCCAGTAACATAATTTCTCCCACAGGTGTAACTGCTGCTTGCCAGCCCAAACCTGTTACCTCGTGGCATGGCCAAATGCCTGGAGCTGAGCAGGCAATTCATACAGAGAGGGATATAATTTTGGAGTTTCCACTCAATACTAATGTCTTCTTTTCCTTTTGATTATTTCTAGGGCCCAGGGTCACCACTGCTGACAACCTAGATAAGAACTGCTGCATTGCATGTGTCTGGGAGTGGAATATTACATGGGAATTAATGGGAAGTTTGCCTTTAGGAATAAATTCATTCCTAAACCAAATTCTGGGAACATAAACTCCTGGACTGAATGTCTACTTCACAAATTATCCAGCCTTTTTATTAAGGATGAAAGCACAGGGGAACTGGGAAAGATAAGTTATATGCATAAGTCAAATTCTTTGGTACTTGGTACCAAACAGTTTAGCCACAATAGGATTTCATCAGCAATATTCACTTGAACGGAGTTTTCTGGCATCAGGGTGAAGGAAAGGGCATTCAAATAGCATTCTCATTTCTAAACACTACCCCTGCCTCTGGAGGTTAGGAAAGTAGTAAGATCCCAGCTACCCCGAAAGGATGTTACTGGAAGGCTCAGACTAAAATTAAACCCATTTTATGAGTTCATTGTTTGGGGCATATGGACTCGAGGAATGAGAGGATGGTAGATTTGGGTTTGTGTTCGTGCTCACTAAACTGCCTAGCTGCATGCCTACGACCATTGCTTTCTATGATTTTCAATATTCATGTCCATGGTTTCTTGGCTTCGTTATTTGCAGGGGTAGTTTTGCGGGGGTTTTTTGTTTTTTACTTTGCATTTGTTTCCTAGTAATTGGTAAGTTCCTTTAGTAAATTCATCAATACTTTTTGAAAGAAGATGTAATTCTTTTTATAAAGTTGGTTTGATTTAAATGTTACGACTTGATTTACAAGTTCTAAGTCTCAAAGTACGAAACTGGACGATGCCAATTTAGGAGAGAACGTATTTAGCTGCAGCCCAGAGACCCTGGCGGGCCCCAAAGCCAGGAATGCAGGCGGGCGGAGGGCTGGCAAGAAGCCCACCCCCCATGCCAGGGTGCGTCCCTCTGAGACCAAGATCCCTTGGGTCGCCGTGTGCTGTTGGCGCCCCCGCTCTTCTCGTTTCTACCCAATCCGCCTGCCCCTCTTCCTGTCGGCTGGCCGTTGCCTACAGAAGGGAGCCCGGAGGACGGGGAGCAGCCGGCCCCAGCGCACAAGGAAGCCAGCGAGGTGGTGAGGGTGCGAGGGCAGGCGGGGTGCCGGGCTTGGGTGTCCGGTGGAGGGGGCGGCGCCCTCCGCAGCTCGGTGACCGCCTCTGCGCCCCCAGCTCCTGCGGCTCCGGGATGCGCGGAGGCGGCTGCAGCGGCGATGGCGATGGTGCCTCCAGCCCTGCATCCCGGGCGCCCTGCATCCTCCCGGGCGGTGGGTGGAGCTGGGGTCTGGGCTGCGAGATGGAGGAGAAGGGGCGGCGCTGCGGCCACCCTGCAGGTGAGGAGCCCGGGCCCCGGAGGAGGCGACTCCAGGGGAACGGGGAGGGTCGGGCACGGGGAGCCGGTGGGTTAGCAAAGAGCACACCGCGCGGGTCCCAGCCCGGCCCCTGCGCACCTGCTGTCCTGGCGCAGCTTGCCGAGCAGCCATCCGGTCCCTGCCCGGGCCGCTCCCACGCTCCGTGAGGCCGTGGAACCCCTCCCCCACCGCCCGTGGCCTGGCCTGGCCTCCTCACCCCACCAACCCTCTCCCGACTGGTTCACTAGCTTCCCTGGCCAGGCCTAGGCCCTTCTTACCATAACCTTCTCCACCTCGGGACCTCCTACCCATTGCCAGCTCCTGGCAGGGGTCGGTCCACACCCAGACTAGGGGGTTCCACAGCCTCCCTGTGCCCCTCAGCCACTGACCCTGCCCCACCCCATCCCCCATCCGCTGCTCCCGGCCTCAAGAGGTAGTTCAACTGGGGACAAAGAGCTTGAAGGGCTCTGAAATCAGATAAATCTGGCTTGAATCTTAGTGACCTTGGGCAAGTCATCTTCCCTGAGGTGCTCTGGGTCAATACAAATACAATGGGAATGACACTTATACAGAACTCGGCTCCCAAGGGTTAGACTCTGAAAATGCCCGCTCTCGAGGAATGTAACGCCTTATGAGAAAAAAATGAGTGGGAAGAATCCAGGTCATGAGTGGACTTGGGAAAGCGCATATAAAATGTTTTGGTATACACTAAAATATTGAGACAGCACACCAAATTATCAGACTCTTCACACATCTTAAGGATAAATAATTGCCACTGTACAATAAATTTTCCCTTACCGCCCAGCTGGTGTGGCTCAGTGGTTGAGGGTTAACCTGTGAACCAGGAGGTCACAGTTCAATTCCTGGTCAGGGCCCATGCCCAGGTTGTGGGCTCAATCCCCAGTGTGGGGCATGCAGGGGGCAGCCAATCAATAATTCTCTCTCATCATTGATATTTCTGTCTCTCCCTCTCCCTTCCTCTCTGAAATCAATAAAAATATATTTGGGGAAAAAATTTCCCCTTAACGTATTTTACTTACTACTTTAGGATCCTTCCTCCTAGTTGTAACAAGATGGATATGATATGAATTCATTCCATGTTTATTGTAGCTAATATGCCTGCTTAAGGCCGGTGTTCCAACTTAACATTTTTCTGGTTTTATGACTTTAATCACATTGTCCTCCAATACCTATTTATGGTCCCAGAGATACAGAGTAGCTTCTATGCTTGCATTGAAAAGAACATTGGCAACCTTTATTTAATATTTAGGCATAGCAAATAGCTATTTCTTTACCTCCCTCCTCAAATCACTGACTTGTATAATTCTGCCTTCATAATCACCCAAGTTGTGATCTCAGCCTCCTCTTTCTTATAGTCCCAGAGTTAACACTAATAGTAGTTACTTTCCCTCCATTTCCTTTATTTCTCAAGGTTCTCTGCCAACACCTTTATTTCTATTCTGTCTTCTGCTTTTCCTCCCTTTTTCTTCCCAGCCTCTGATTTTTAACTTTTTTCAAATTATCCCAATAGGAGTGATTTATAATTATATTAGGGGCCCAGTGCATGAATTCATGCACCTTGAAAGGAACTGGCCACGAGGCTGTGGTGAGCACAGGGGTGGGTCTTGGCCAACCCTCTCTGCCCCCTTGCCCCTCCTGCCATGGCACCCTACCCCTGTCTGACAGAAGCCCCGCTGCCACTGCTCACACCCACTGACGGTGTGGAGCGATGGGGCTGGCACCAGCAGTGAGTGCGAGCAGGGCCGGCACTGTCAGTGGGTGTGAGCTGTGACTGCTGCCCCTATCACCCCTCAAGAGTAGGGGCAGGTGGAGAAGACCTCAGGTTCAATTGGGGCCGGCAGCCACCGCTCACACCCACTGATGGCACCAAGTAATTAGAACCGGTTACAGGTGCTGGCAGCAGGTGTGAGCGGTGGATCCAGTGCCAGCTGTGGGTGCGAGTGGGGCTGGCGCCAGCAGCAGATGCGAGCACTGGGTG